GTAGCAGCAGTTGTAGTAGTAGTAGTAGTAGTAGTAGTAGTAGTAGTAGTAGTAGTAGTAGTAGTAGTAGTAGGAAGTAGTAGTAGTAGTAGTAGTAGTAGTAGTAGTAGTAGTAGTAGTAGTAGTAGTAGTAGTAGTAGTAGTAGTAGTCGGTAGTAATAGTAGGTAGTAGTAGGTGGTAGTAGTAGTAGTAGGAGAAGTAGTAGTAGTAATAGTAGTAGTAGTAGTAGTAGTAGTAGTAGTAGTAGTAGTAGTAGTAGGAGTAGTAGCAGAAGTAGTAGAAGTAGTAGAAGTAGTAGTAGTAGTAGTAGTAGTCGTCGTCGTCGTCGTCGTAGCAGTAGTTGTCGTAGTAGTAGTAGTAGTAGTAGTAGTAGTAGTAGTAGTAGTAGTAGTAGTAGTAGTAGTAGTAGTAGAAGTAGTAGTAGTAGCAGCAGTAGTAGCAGTAGCAGTAGCAGTAGCAGTAGCAGTAGCAGTAGCAGTAGCAGTAGCAGTAGCAGTAGCAGTAACAGTAACAGTAGTAGTAGTAGTAGTAGTAGTAGTAGTAGTAGTAGTAGTAGTAGTAGTAGTAGTAGTAGTAGTAGTAGTGTAGTAGTAGTAGCAGCAGCAGTAGCAGCAGTAGTAGTAGTAGTAGTAGTAGTAGTAGTAGTAGTAGTAGTAGTAGTAGTAGTAGTAGTAGTAGTAGTAGTAGTGGTAGTAGTGGTGGTAGTGGTGGTGGTGGTGGTCGTGGTAGTGGTGGTGGTGGTGGTGGTGGTGGTAGTGGTGGTGGTGGTGGTGGTAGTGGTAGTGGTAGTGGTAGTGGTAGTGGTAGTAGTTGCAGTGTATGCTGTGTAGGCGCGGAGTCTTGACACCAGAATATGTGGCAAAGCTGCCCCTTGCGACAGAGGGGTCGACACAGTCGACGCCCCATGCTAAGCGCACAGCGTTCAAATCCAGAGGAGGTAACTTGGCGAAGCCACTCAGAGTCCTCACTTGGAACGCCGGGCACGTAGGTCAACAGCAGTGGGCAGAGTTTCGAGCCTGGCATCGAGTTGCCTCAGACCAGTACGATGTAATAGCGCTGCAAGAAACACACTGGCAGGAAAGCACAATTCGATGTGGGGCTGGCGCTGCATTAGCTCAGTCAGCCAGGTCCGATCTACCAAAGGTGGATCGGCCTCCGAGCTACGATGTGGGATCAGTCCACCCCCTGAGAATAGAGTCCGTTCGTGTGCTAGCCTTGGGATAGCAGATTCTTGATCTCGACTGAGAAGAGCTAGTGTACGCACTCGTGAACCACGTAGGGGTTTACGACAGTGTGTGCTAGCTCGATCCTTCGGAGTAGGCAAAAAAAAGGAGGTGCTTTTAGAGGCCTGATGGCTCAGACCAAGGCTAGCACCACACGGACGGACTCTTTTCTCAGGAGGTGGACTGATCCCACATCGTAGCTCGGAGGCCGATCCACCTTTGGTAGATCGGACCCCCCAGAATGGGTTGGGTGGGCACTTTGAAATTGCCCCACTCAAGAACATAGGCCCAATTTCAGAGGTAGCTCGATTTCTGAGCTTCATCTTTGCTTGGCTTCTTAGCTGATCCCGGAGCCTCAAATAGCAGATTGACAGTCCTTGATCTCGACCGAGAAGAGCTAGTGTACATTTCAAAAAATATAAAACAACATAAGACAAACTCATCAGATAATCCTGTAGTAAATTCATCTGAAGTTCTGGTGTATCGTCAACAATATCGACTATATGCTGAACTTGAAAAAACAATTGGAAGCAAGAGAGGCAAAAGAAAAACATGGCGTTTAAACGGAGATTATTAGAGGGTCAAATGAAAGCACATTACGAAAGCGAAATGACAAGATTAAAGGGGGAAATGCGTAATCCAAGAATACCCGAGACTTCTCTGGAACATCTTAAACAACGGTATGCTACATTAAGCGAATTAAGTGAGCCAATTTTTTTCTCAATTTACTTATGTGCAAGAATGGTAGTTAAAAAAGCTGGAATACAATTTCACAGAAGATCTAGATACGAAGGTGTGTTGGAACTGGTCAACGACAACGAAGATGCATTAAAACCTTTTCCAAATAGAGATGCTGTATTTTCGAAACAAAGCAATCAAGGAACTCGTTGTGATGGCGAAGATCATTTGGATAATTTGAAAGTCCAAGAAAAACAAATTGCTGAAAGAATTGTTAGGGATCACATGTTACGAGAAATATGCGCATGATAACAATCTAACACATAGAGCATTGTTCCAAATCAATGAAACATTAGGAAACATAGCAGCGGCGCAACAAAGCAACCAACAACCAATTTATCAAGCGCATCAACAACAGTTAGAAAGAGAAAAGGAAAGAGGATCAGGAACTCTCAAAACTTCAGGAAGCGGTGTGTTAAGTTCAGGAAGCGGAGCGTTAGGAGTATTGGGCCATGGCGCGTTTGCTGCACTTTCACAAGCATTACAAACATTAAGTGATACATTTATGAGAAGAATAAATCCACCATCAAGACCACGACTAGATTTTACAGGAGATCCTAGAGCGGGACAATTTACAACATAGGATCCAATTCCAACCAAACATGCAATAGTTCCAACCTTCAATCGTTGTACAACCCCATCAACCTAATGTACGAGCACCTCAACAACCTTTGCCGATAGCATCTTCAAGTCAACCCACAATAACAGAAATACAAACTCCAACAACACAGTGTCCAGCAGAACCGAGAACAAAAGCAAGACCCAGACCATGACCGAAAACATCTGCTCCACCGCCACAATTTAATTTTCAAGAAGGAGGGGCGTCGGGATTAAGTGGAGGAGCGCCGCCACTGCAAGAAGAAAATCAAGGAATCAGAAATTGAATGGGACAAGTAGATGAACAAAGTATAGAAAACAACAAGTTTTAAACACTTAAATAAAAAATGAAAAAATATAAAAATAAATAAATCAAATGTATATATATATATATATGTACATATACATATAAATTTACAAAACACACAATGATCTTGTCACGAAAAGTGTCACAAACAATATTGTAAAATTTGTAAGTGAAAAATGTCAAAAATATTGTAAAGTTTATGACAAAGTTATGGTAAAATTTGCAAAAATTTGGTGCAATAGTTGTTCTTGCAAAATGTGCAAAAGAAGTATTGTAAAACATATCACAAAATTTATGATAAACTTTCTGCAAATTTATGAATTTTGGATTGTTGGACTGCTGAAAAAGTGGCCTAAAAGTTACAAAACAAAAAACGGTCCAGCAGATATAATCCAAAGACGGCGCTCACTGTATGAGCTCCACAGGGATTGTATCCCGGCCCGGAGCCTGTCGTTTTGTGAGAGCGCGAAGTACTACGTCAAGTTCTTCCATTGTGAAGGCTTGACTGTAGCGTCAGGGAGGCTGCCCAGGGAAGGTGTGGAAGGATATGGCTCGGGGGATAGTCCATTCCAGACTGGTTGGCCAGATAGTCTACTAAGGTGTCTGCACGTTGCTTGCGTGGGACAAGCTTGCCCTCAAGGCTAGTCAGGTTCGGAGAAGGGCAAGTATCCTTGCGTAAAGAGAATTACAGTCATCCTGCAGATGCTGTAGAACAAACTGCTTCTTATCTCTGTGAGCATCTCTTTAATGACTGCATTTGCGCTTAACCTACACCTTGGTGAGACTCCGGTGAGATCTGTCTCTTTTGGAAAGCAGTGATGCACAAATTCAAGGCTTTCTTCAGCTGGAGTGAGATAGAACGCAGAATGGTTCATCTCTTGGACAGTGCCGCTGACGATGGTTTCAAAACTGGAGTCCACGATGGTCCACGGCTCACAGCAGTTCCACCCCCCCCCCACCCCTCAGTTAGGGTCAGGCTCGCCCCAACTCATTTTGCTCACCGCCAACCGCTCATTCATTTTTTCCCTCAGGGTACACGCGACATTTTCCAATTTCCCATGAATTTTTCATCAATTGTGACATTCAACCCTCACACATTTTCCTGCAAAAATCATTACTTTTTTAGAATTCTACAAGTTTTAAAAAGTCAACTTTTCAATCAGTACAAATAATCAACTATATTCTCTTTCTGGTTAGCTTCACCCTGAGGTTGTTATGCTCGTGAACAAATACCAGAAGAACACTAAGCTGCCTATCGCCCAATCTCTCTCTCATTATTGCGATATAAGAGTTGTGCCGCCCTGATTCAACAGAGACTCTCCCACCACTTCGAGCATAGAATGCGTAAGGCTCAATTTGGGTTTCGCGCCCACAGATCTATTGCTCAACTACATCATAATGATATCACGGAGTTTATTTCGACTGGTAATCCATGCGTGTCCCTTTCCCCCTGGCGGAAAGCAATGGAATCCCCATGCCAAAATCCCATTTTTGTTGTAACAGAACACTCCTCCGATGTCCCACCAAACTCGGGGGTTACATCAAGGATACACCTTCTCTTTCCACATTTATTCAGTTTTGCCCTGACACATCTCTTGACATCGAAATATGTTGCCTCCTCTGGTCTACTTTTAGGTGTATTTGTCGATTAGGCTACCCACTACTGGATCTCGAACATGACACCAGAGGCCCCAATAGAGTCGGGATGCCTAAGCCGCACTGGGCAGAGCCTCCTTTTGCATGGACATCTGGTGTGCGAAAATCTGCGTGTGTGCAGTCGGATATACAACAATCCTCGCAAGCCGCAAAACCTACAAGCGGCTTTGAACGTTCGGTGCTGACGGGACCTTTTCGTGGACCCAGCGCTTGCGCAAAAGCGTCAAGCAACCCTGTTTGCGCAGCATTTGGACAAGCGTAGTTGTGACCTTCGACAGTGTACATCACGTACGACAGGGCAAGGAAACCTGTTGTGACCATCTCGTAGACAAATGGAGAATTGCGTGTCACGTAAAAGTTTTGCAGCGCATAAGTTTTCGATGTCCCATCACCTGAGCTCTGTACCTGAAAGTGCCCTCACTGTTAGGTTGCTTTTTAAGAATTTAGGTGTTTGCATGGACCAAAGCCAGTGGTAGACATGGAGATCGAGAGCGATGCAACGAGTGCTTCCCCGGAGCGCCTCGATCAGCTACTCGGCGGATGTTTCGCAGTTTCGCCCTGGGTGGACGATGACGATGATGGGTGAGGGCACAGATCTCTAGGAGTCAGATGAGGCCGTTGCAGGTGAACAAGCTACCCACATCACAGGCACACTGGGACATATTTGGATGTTAGCATGCTGTTTCCTTTACGAAGCATCAACAACACCTTCAAGCAAGCCACACGACACGAATCGGATGCTGCTTTGTGCCAAGGCTCAGGCAAGAGGGAGGCGGTGAGTCTTCGCCTGTTCGCAGCACCTGCGACAGCGACGGATCTCCGAAGGACGCCAGCACAGAGTCACACCGACAGAGTAAGGGCGGCGGCATGTGTGTTAGTTTGCTATGTGAGTACGCTCGGTCCCCAGGAAGCAGACAAGGTCCCACCAAGACGCTTTTCTGAAACCTTCAAATTCCCACGCTGGGCCCTGCAAGCACGTTATGGTTCTAGGGTTTTCAGGCCTAAACTCTAGCGGCACTCACAGGCCCTACGAGCACGAAGGGAGGGGACATGCGACAAGCTTTGAGGGCCCTCTGCGACAGACTTCTAGGGGACATGTGTTTACTTCTGCAGAGCTCTGAAAGTCAAAACGTTAGGAAAAACCATATGATGTTTTTGCGCTTCTATAGAACTTTGACGCAGGCGGTTTCACTATACAGAGATGTTTATCCCTTGTGTGCTGGTAACGTAATCGTGGCTCCATAGGGTGTGCAAGCGCAAAAACATCCTGTGTTTTTCCTACCGTTTGCGCTTTCAGAACACTGAAGAAGTAAAAACATGTCCCTCAAACTCAAACGTTTGTCGTATGTTTCCTCCCTTCGTGCTAGGGCTTGGTGAGGGCCCCAAAAGTTTGTCACATGTCCCTTCGTGCAGTGCAGGCTTTGGAACCGTTTTGATTAAAATGCAGGCGGGCTATAGGGCCACGATTACGCTACCAGCGCAGGCTTTTGGGCGCAGAACACAGCCCTGAAAACGAGATTCTCGGTGGTCATCAGGGAGCAGAAGGGCTGCTAGTTGCTTACGACGTCACCTTACGAGCGCGAAGGGAGGGGACATACGACAAATTTCAAATTTTTGTAGGGCCCTCACCAAGCCCTACGAGCACAAAGGGAGGGGACATACGTGTTCTGAGTTCTGAAATTGCGGTCCCCAAAACTTGGGTGCTGTTTGCGTACGCTCGGTCCCCACAAGCGGGGTCACGTAAGCTCGGTCCCCAGCAAGCAGGATGCTAGTTGAGCACGCTCGGTCCCCAAAACTTGGGTGCTGTTTGCGTACGTTCGGGCCAGCGACCAAATAGCTCGCGCCCCAACCTTGTCGAAGAGCAAACAGAGTTGGGTAGATAATGGGCGCGGACCTGTGCGGACCCCGGTTTGTTTTTTTCTTTTGGCAATCAAAGACACAAACGCCGACCATGGAAAAAAACATCAAGAAAGCGTGCGCGGATTGGTTTCCGGGCATTTGGGAAATACAAAGGTTTACAAAGAAGCAAAAACCGTCATGCCTCGGAGCTTCGCGTGGCAAACTTCTCCATGCAAGTTGGCCATTGTGTGGGCGAGAGAGGGAGCTCTGGCGCGAGCTATTTGGTCATCAAGGCGCAGATGGGGTGCTAGTTGCTTACGTTGAAACCCAAAACCTGCGCTTGTAACGCAATCGTGGCTCTGTGCGGGTTATGCGGGTTGTGAATATGCCCCTGCGACCTTTAAAACACGTTCCCTGGAAGAGGTGGTTTAAGTACATTGAGATGTTTATCCCGGTGCTGGTAACGTTATCGTGGCTCCACAAGGGTTGAGAACATGCCCCTGCCCCTACGACCAGCCTTGAAACTTGTGTGTTAACGTGTTAAAACACCATGGATGTTTCGCGTGCGACCAAATGGCTTGCGCCATGGCGTGAGCTATTTGGTCATCAGGGCGCAGATGGAGCGCTAGTCGCTTCCGATGTCACCCTACGATCGCGAAGGGACGGGACGTGACGTGCGACGAGGGCCCTCACCAAACCGGAGGGACGTACGACAAACCTCTAAGGGATATGTTTTTACTTCTACAGTGTTCTGAATCCCAAAACTTGGGTGCTGTTTGAGTACGCTCGGCCCCCAAAAAGCAGATTGCTAGTTGAGCATGCTCGGTCCCCACAACTTGGGTGCTATTGGAGTAAGCTCGGTCCCCAAAAAGCAGGGATGCTAGTTGAACACGCTCGGTCCCCAAAAACTTGGGTGCAATTTAAGTACGCTGGCTCCCCTAAAGCAGGATGCTAGCTAAATGCGCTCAGTATTTTCGCACGCACAAGGACCAACCAAGACGCCTTTCTGAAACCTTGGCCCTTCAAGCACGTTATGGTTCTAGGGCTTTCAGGCCTAACCTCTAGAGGCCCTCACCCTATGAGCACGAAGGGAAAAGACATGCGACAAATTTCTAGGGCCCTCACCGAAGGACATGCGACAAACCTTTAAGGGATATGTTCTTACTTCTACTGTGTTCTGAAAGTGAGAACGTTAGGAACAGCATAGGATGTTTTTTGCGTTTGTATAGAAACTTTTCGTAGGGCAAGCAGGGTTTTGCCTCAACTCATCTTGCACGGCGAAAAGGTTTCACAGCCCCTCCTCCCCAAAAAAGAGGTGGTTTGAGTAAGTATTGATGTTTATCCCTTGTGTGTTGGTAACGTAGTCGCGGCTCCATAGGGTGCACAAGCGCAAAAAACGTCCAATGCGTTTCCTAACGTTTGCACTTCAAAGGTTTGTCGTATGTCCCGTCCGTTGGTGCTAGGGTTTGACGAGGGGCCTAGAAGTTTCTCGCATGTCCCTTCATGCTCGCAGGGTGACTGCCCTAGAGTCCCTAGAGGTTAATATAGTCGATTTAAAGTGCAGGCAGGTTATGGGGCCGCGATGAGGTTACCAGCACGCGCTTTCGGACTTGGGTTATCGGGCCACGCTTACGCTACCAGCACAGGTTTTTGGGCGCAGAACACTAGCCTGAAATTGTGTTCTAACGTGATAAAGCACCATATCGCGAGCTATTCGGTCATCAGGGCGCAGAAGGGGTGCTAGTTGCTTCCGACGTCACCCGACGAGCGCGAAGGGAGGGGACATACGACAAATTTCGACCAAATCCTACGAGCACAGAGGACAGAGGGAGGGGACATAACTACGACAAACCTCGAAAGGATTTTTTCCTACACTGAAAGTGCGGTCCCCAAAACTTGGGTGCTTGGTCCCCAAAAAGCAGGATGGTAGTTGAAAGCGCTCGGTTCCCGAAACCCTTTTCTATTGGAGCAGGCCAGACCCCTGAAGAGCAGGTCCCTGAAGAGCAGGATGCTAGTTGGACACTCTCGGTCCCAAGACTTGAGTGCTATTTGAGTAAGCTCGGTCCCCAAAGAGCAGGATGCTGGTTGAACACGCTCGCTCCCCAAAACTTGGGTGCTATTTGAGTACGCTCGGTCCCCAAAAGCAGGATGCTAGTTGAACACGCTCGGTCCCCAAGACTTGGGTGCTAGTTGAGTACGCTGGCCCCCCTAAAGCCGGATGCTATCTGAACACGTTCGGTCCCCAAAACTTGGGTGCTACTTGAGTACACTCGGTCCCCAAAAGCAGGATGCTAGTTGAACGCGCTCAGTCCTTTCGCACATACAAGGACCAACCAAGACGCCTCTCTGAAACCTTCAAACCTCACAGGGCCCTCGCCCACGAGAACATCCATGGTTTTTAACACGTTAAGACACATTTTCAGAGTTAGTGTTCAGCGGCCAGAAGCCTGTGCTGGCAGCGTAATCGTGGCCCTAAAGCCTGCCTGCGTTTTGCCCTCGAGCACGAAGGGACATGCGAGAAACTTTCAGGGCCCTCGCCAAACCCTAGCATGACAAACTTCTAAGGGAGATGTTTTTACTTCTACAGTGTTCTGAGAGTGCAAACGTTTGGAAAAACATAATATTTTTGCGCTTGTACACCCTATGGGGGCTGTGAAACCATTTCGCAGGGCAAGATGGGTTGGGTAAAAACGCTGCTTGCTCCGCGAAAGAAAGTTTCTAATGCAAGCGCAAAAACCTCCTAGCACTTGCACTTCCAGAACACTGTAGAAGTAAAAACATATCCCTTAGAGGTTTGTCGTATGTCCCCTCCCTTCGTGCTCGTAAGGCTTGGTGATGGTCCTAGAAGTTTGTCAGATGTCCCCTCCCTTCGTGTCCCCCGCGACCAAGCAGCTCGCGGCATGGCGCGAGCTATTTGGTCACCAGGGTGCAAAAGGGGTGCTAGTTGCTGACGACGTTGCCCTTCGAGCGCGAAGGGAGGGAACAGACGACAAACTTGTAGGGCTCTCACCAAACCCTACGAGCACAACGGGAGGGGAGACACGACAAACCTCCAAGGGATGCATTTTTACTTCCACAGTGTTTTGAAAATGCGGTCCCCAAAACTTGGGTGCTATTTGACTACGCTCGGTCCCGCAAAGCAAAATCCTAGTTGAACGCGCTCGGTCCCCAAAGCTTGGGTGCTATTGGAGCAAGCTCGGTCCCCAAAAAGCAGGATGCTAGTTGAACACGGTCGGTCCCCAAAACTTGGGTTTTGTTTGAGTACGCTCGGTCCCCAAAAGCAGGATGCTAGTTGAACACGCTCGGTCCCCAAGACTTGAGTGCTATTTGAGTACGCTCAAATAGCTCGGGCCAGCGACCAATTAGCTCGCGCCTGGGGTAACACCCGGGTTGTTTGGCAAGCAAAGACACAAGCCCCGACCATGAAAAACATCGAGAAAGTGTGCGCGTGTTGGTTTCCGGGCATTTGGGAAATGCAAAGGTTTACAAAGAAGCAAAAACCGTCATGCCTCGGAGCTTCACGTGGCAAACCTCCTGGCAAGTTGGCCATCGTATGGGGGAAGCTCCGGCGCGAGCTATTTGGTCATCGGGGCCCAAATGGGGTGCCAGTTGCTTACGATGAAACCCAAAAACCTGAGCTGTCAACATAATCGTGGCTCTACAAGGGTTGTGACTATGCCCCTGCGACCAGCAAAACGCGTTCCCAAAAAGAGGTGGTTTAAGTACTTTGAAATGTTTAGTTATCTTTGTGTTGGTAACGCGATCGTGGCTCCATAAGGGTTGTAAGTATTGTAAACACCATGGATGTTTTCCCCTGCGACAAAAATAGCTCGCGACGTGGCACGAGCTATGTGGACATCAGGGCGCAGGTTGGTTGCTAGTTGCTGACGATGTCATCCTATATACGAGCGCGACTGGAGGGCACGTGCGACCTCACCAAACCCTACGAGCACAAAGGGAGGCGACATACGATAAACCTCTGAGGGATCTGTTTCTATTCTACAGTGTTCTGAATCCCATCCGTCCTCAAAATTTGGGTGCTATTGGAGAAAGCTCGGTCCCAAAACGCAGGATGTGAGTTGAATACGCTCGGTCCCCAAACCTTGGATGCTGTTTGAGTACGCTCCATCCCCTAAAAAGCAGGATGCTAGTTGAACACGCTCGTTCCATAAAACTTAGGATGCTAGTTGAACACGCTCAGTCTTTTCGCACACACAAGGACCAGCCAAGACACCTCTCTGAAGCCTTCAAACCTCGCACGCTGGGCACTTCAAGCACGTTATGGTTTTAGGACTTTCAGGCCTACCTCGAGGGTCCTCACCCTACGAGCACGAAGGGAGGTGACATACGGGATATATTTTTACTTCTACAGTTTTCTGAAAATGCAAACGTTCAGAAAAGCACAGGATGTTTTTGTGCTTGTCCCTGCCAAGAAATGCCTCAATCATGTCTATGCTTTTGGGTTCTGACCCATGGTGCTGCATGACTCATCTCTTCAGGGGCCGGCACTGAAGTTTAGGGCAACCCGAAACGCCTGTCAAGTTTTATGTCGCATTGTTGTTTCACGCGTTAACCCTTTGTCTACAAATTACTGTATGGGGTCTTCGCCGGCATACTTTTACAGGATCAAAACTTGCTGTTCGGAGAAACTGATTCTTCTGACGCAAACCACGTGCAGCGGCAGGGAGAAGAGATAGAGGCAGGTTTGTTCGGACATGAAAATATACAGTTCCGACCTGCAGGACAGTGTGTTTCTTGTCTGCTGCTACGCACGCATGCACGCGCCCGCACGCACGCGTGCCCGAACGCCCGCCCGCTTGCCCGCATGCCCGCACGCCCGCGCGCACGCCTGCAAGCCCACACGCCCGCGCGCCCGCGCGCCCAATGGAGCTTATGCGACACTAAGCGGCGGCTGGAGGTCATAGTGAAATCCCCGAACTTCGAAGGTGTGCGGCAGGTGGTCTGCCACAGGTGTGGCATTTCATGGCCTCCGTTGCCTTGACTCTTGTTTGCCAGGTTGACAAATGCCAAGGGGGCCCAGCGCGCCAAAGGCCGGGTGCTCTGTGTTGAATATCCCCCTTTTGGGTTTTACAATAATAACAGGGAGTTCTCAGTGCGGAGCATCCGAGGGGCGTGGGTTTGGGGGCCTTCGTAATTCCAGAATGGGACGGAGTTAGGCCGACTGGCAGGTGGAAGCGCAGCTGCAGCAGGCCCGATCTAGTGTCAGACTTGCCCCGACGTGTGGGATCGCGTGGGGTCCATAGAACCGGGCTCCCCGCAAGAGGTCTAGTGTGGGATGGAAGTTGTGTTGAGTGTTGAGGCGCAAGTCACGAAAGCTGCTGCCTTTGAAGAGGGTGGAAAGACTCTGGCCCAGGAACCGACTTGCCAACACTTCAAAATAGTCGCTCGCTTCACCGAGCGATGTCTAAGATCAAAAGGAAAAGGTATGCCTGGGGAAAGGTATGCCTGGACATGAACCGGAGCCACAAAGGAATTATGATGTAGCTGTCGCGCTCAGGTGGAAAGTGGCCGGGATATCCACAAGAGTGTCTTCGCTGAGAGCATCTGCATGCTTGTGTCACCTGCAGGCTTCCAAGTTCAAGCAAGAGGATCTCAATAGCTCCCCAAATGCACATACTGTATGACTTTCGCAACCACCCCCACGCACCGAGTGTTGACTTCCAACACCAACCCAGCTTTACGTACCGAGTGTTGAATAAAAACACGCCAAATGCAAGACTTGCCCTGACGTCCGTCCGCCGCCGCCACCAGCAATGCCAAGTTGTCTTAAGAAAGCCACGCGCCTTCATAGGAGTACATCGGTTTCGGCAGACGCCCCCATGAGGCAGAAAAGGCTTTTAGAATCCAGGTTTCGATGGGTTTTAGGGTCAAGGGGCAGGAAGCTGCAGATGCAGAGATTTGGTCCGTGGAGGGGTGAGGACAAGGTCCGCGTTTCGAGCTTTTTGAGCCAAGTCATCGCGTAGCCTCACCCATGTTCTCCCTCAGGGAGGCGTCTGGCCGCTGTAACTTCTGCAGCCCAGCCAGCCGAAACCGATGTGTTTCTGTAAAGGCGTGTGGCTGTTTTAAAGACGAGTTGCCTTTCAGCGCAGCGCCGCACGAGTCTGTGCACGAGCATCATGCACGCAGTTGTGGGTGTTTCGGAGGGATCTGTGTGGCCTGTGGAGGGATGATGAGCATGATCCGGTCTCCACGCGTGTTTTGCGATACTGTACACACATGCAACAGTGCATGCATTGGCGTGTGTGATCCTTGAAGTATGCGATTACAGAAGCAATTCCGGGTGGTGCAGTGCTGGTGCTTGCAGACATAAAAAGGGTTTACAGAGATGTCGACTTTGTTTGCTGCAGGTAAGCTCGTTGTTCTGCCATCTGGGCTTCAGGGGTACCTAGTCCGGGGCCGTGGGGCCGGTGAAATCAGATGTGACCACCGCGCCAACGCTAACGCCAACGCCAACGCCAGCGCCAGCGCCAGCGCCAGCGCCAGCGCCAGCGCCAGCGCCAGCGCCAGCGCCAGCGCCAGCGCCAGCGCTTGCGCCGACGCCAAACGCCAGCACCAATGCCAACGCCAGCACCAACACCAGCACCAGCGCCAGCACCGTCACCACCATCACCACCATCACCACCATCACCACCATCACCACCATCACCACCATCACTGCCATCTCCACCATCACCGCCATCACCACCATCACCACCATCACCACCGTCACCGCCAGCATCGCCAGCAGCATCGTGCTGTAGCAAGATTGTTTAGCAAACATGTTCGCAACCATGCTGCGTGTGGGTTTCCGTGTTGTCGTCGGAAGCTGCAATTCACCTTGAGCATCCCGGGGACGCCCAAGTATTTCGCAACACTGCGCGGTGCAGCCCAAAGCCGAGTCACAGGCCGAAAGCAAGGCTGAAGTTGAAGAAAAGCAGGCCGTGTCCAGTTTTGAGATGATCTTCAGCGCCGGGTCTGTCCTGGACTTGTGCCCCGTGTGTAAGCTGTGAAGCATAGGGATGCAATCGGCCACGGTTTTTGAGACGTAGTGTGTGGTCTGTGGAGGGATCATGTGCCAGGCGGAAATTCCACACAAGCAGCAGGCCCTGTCGGCATCGCGGAGGGCGGGTGGAGGTTCGTTTGTCGACAAAATGCTTCCGAGAAGTGGCGCCGCAATTGGCATGGAAGTTGTTCCGTAGCAAGACTGTTAAGTTAATTGCTGGATTTCGGTTTCGGAGTTGTCGTTGGGAGCTGCGCTGCATCTTGAGCTTCCGCAGGTGGGTTGGGTCTTCAAGAAGTTAAAAAAACAGGAAAAGCTCAACGCTGCGCTCAAGAAGGCCGAGAAGTGGGACAGAGAGTGGGGGGTTTTGGGGTTTATCATATGTAATGTGATGTAATGTAGCTTGAAAACATAGGAAAAAACCCTTCAACAGGGTCAGAGTCGACACCGACTGGGTAGAGGGTGGAGAGAAGCAGAGCGGAATCTACGGAGTGCCTGGCTCTTACTGATCTGCTGCCTCTGGATGCAGATCACTTCGTGACCTGAGCGGGTTTAGTGAATCCTAAACCCGAAGCCCTTCGTTCAGGAGGCCATCCGGGCCGGCCTTGCAGTGTGGCAGATTCCAAAATTTTCTGGATTTGAGAATTTTTTCGGGGTGCGGGGGGGTGGGGGCACGTTTGGGCTACCCTATTCTGGGAAATGCCCATATACGGTCTGCGTGGCATAGACCTTTAGGGGGGTAAATGTGAGGAACCTTTTCCTCTTTTCTGCAAAGACAATCTCCAATGCGACTCAATAGGAGATGCAAGACCAGCGCCCAGCAGTCGAAGCTTCAAAACTCTACAGTCCTGGCCCCTTTGATAGTTGGACACTCTACAAGAAGTGCTCTTCGGGGACATGCTCCTTGAAAAAACAAAATAATGTTTACCGCCTTCAAATCCCAGCTCAAACAGCTATTCAAGCTTCCTTCAAACATGAAGCAACATTCTGTGGCCAGGCCGGTGAACTGGATGACGCTTGGCCTCCGCACGCACCTGTTGTCGACCATGCCAAAAAAGCTGAACCTACCTGACGTCCCCCCAGCAGGAGGGCTTACATAAACCTTACTAAAGTTGTCCCAAACCCGCTTAGAAACCCCGAGGCTGCATTTCGAGCTGGCTTCTAGCACATTCAGTTGCCTTGTCACTTAAAGATCTGGCCAAGACAAACAGTCCCTTGAAGCAGAGACCGCGAAGTGGTTCATTTCACTTCCTTTATACATGCGATTTCCACGTTGCCTTAGGTTTATGATTCGGGAAACATTGGCATGATCTCGTTCCAGACCTGAGAGTTAACAACTGTAGCCTGGGTCACAATCTTCCAGGACTTGCTTCGCGCGAGCAGCTTTAGTCGGCGGAGGGCTGGCGATGGAGGGGTAACCGGGGGCAGCAAGAGCTGGGCGGAGTGGGGCGGAGCCATCTAGGCATGCGCTCTGGCTCGGTGTGTTTTCGCCTCTCAGGAAACTGGCTAAATAGTCACAAACCGTGTGTGTTCACATGAAACGGCAGGTTCGGCTAGCGGCTAGAACTTGCTTTGACTAGCTGCTTTGCTTTGATCAGCTCTAGCTTGACTTGGTCAGCTTTCACTTATATACTTCGATCATCGGTGCCACTTCTCCAGGAACACGCGCGCTTGCCATGTATCGATGGATTCTAGTCCATAACCACTTCTTATTTTTAATGTTCTCTTCGGGCCCGGGCCTTATTGTCGGGTTTTCTCTTCATCTCGACTTGCTCAGGTGCCGTGGAAGTTCACAAAGTCACAACAAACATTAGGCAAACCTACGGCACCCAGAAACCCCAACTCAAAATCCATGAACCCCAAAGCCCTTTAAGCTTTGAGGCCCCAAATTCCAAATGCCACATCCCCAAATGCCATGGCTTGTTACGCGGTCCGTGCGTGCGCGCCGCTCGTCGGAGACGGGAGCCTTGGATTGAACTTCGCAATTCAAGAGGGTAACCCCAGAAGTTGTTCATAGAAAGACCAAGGCAGCATCGGCGCATTGATCTATTTTGCAATTTTGTTCGGGTCTTGTAGCAGAATGCAGAGAAGTTTGGCTCAGAACCGCTCGCAAAGGAGTGTTTCAAACGGTCGCAAACGACGTGTGAACGTGAGAGTTGCAGCGTCAGAGCCTTCTTACGAGGCAACCCGGAGCTAGCAAACATAGAAGGCGAGCTTCGTGGAAGAGTAGCTCAACAGTTTGGATCTAGGGTTGGGGTCGGGAAATTTGGGGGAGGGTCTTGACAATGCCCTGCGTACAGTTCTTTTCAGGCGGTGGGTTTCGCGACTTATATAGAATTGCAGGTTGCGGTACAGTGTAAACCTTGAGCCCTACAAACTAAAACCTCTATATAGATAAACTAGCAGAGTTCCGATGCTTTTGCAATGGCAATCGAAGCAAGTACCTGCAAGTCTGGACGCCAAGCCCGGCTCTTTCTCTTGCCCTCTCTTTCGCTCTCTACTTTCTCTCTTGCCTCTCCTGTGCTCTCCGGCCCTGACCCAGTGCATAATCCTCAGGATGGACACCTGATCCTCGATTAGCCGGACACTTAGCTTCAAAGGAACTTCGAGGCTTTGAACCGTGGGGCTTGTGGGGTCTTTGGACTCGCTGCCGTGTGCAGTGCTTAGCGACCTGGGATGCCGTCGTGCGACAGATTGTTGCAGCCTGCTAGGTTTCTCAGCCAAAGGTTGAAGTGCATGTGCTGCACTTAGGCTGGGAGTATCCAGGCGAAATACATGCGTGTCCAATCTGTGGCATGGTAGCTCGCCAAGCTCTAACGACCAGTGGTGAGAGGGCTGGCAGGGCACTTGTTTCACCGAGCGCCGCGACTTTGCCAAGATGGCTGGAGCGCTTGAGAAAGGTCACACACTATACTGGCTGCCGCGAGAGAATCGTGGGTCCTGGGCCCTTGGGGGGCCATTTCCCAGCTTGCGCATGCTGGAAGCTGTAGTGTTGACCACTCTCCGTGAGACAAACCTTCGGGTGGTCTTTACTGTGTTTGCACATATGCCCGTTTGGCATCTTCGGCTCAAGGACTCACGTTTTGTCCTGATTACTAGACACTTTCCGGTAGTGAAGTGAACGTGCGCCGGGTGCCCGTGGTTGCCGCCACCGGAACCGGTGCTTTACATAGGGCCGAAGCGCCTACGGCCCAAATTCCGACGCTTCTCTGAATATGTGACTAAGCTCGTGACTTTAATGCGTGAGAAAGCAAGAAGCATGCGCTTCTGAAGTGTTCTGTCTCATTGCATCAGGTTTGCTTGACATGACAAACATCCTCATTATCGCTGCCCGTCCAGCAGGTGACCATGTTTCGCTTGTTCATCGCCGTCTTCTCCTCCGCATTAACAGTTCTGGTGGCACGAACTGCGCATGGTGGTTGCATCGCGCCTGTGCTTCTGCAGAGGCAGCAGGCATTGCCGCTTGGGTTGCACCTCATAGTCACGCATGACCAGGCTGTTGTTGTTCCAGGAAAAAAGCTTGATGTGCTTGTCATGTTGCAACTGTGCTAGTGCAAAAACTGCCGTTGGTTGAGGAGTTCGTCGCGTTGCCATATCACATCTGCACAGTTTTTAAGTTGCGAGGATGTGTATTCAGCGTATCTCTGAGGAGTGATCATGCTACTTTGTCTTCAGCAACAAAGGACTGTGGGTGTGTTCTGTGATCACATTTGTGAGCAGATGATTGGCCATCAGTGGTGAAGGGATGATCCACCATGATTCCCAAATTTGCTTGTCGTCAGATGCATTCCATGTCTTCTTTGAGCTACATTCCTGTCACGACACTTGGGTCCCAGGAGCCCACATCAAAACGGAAGGAGGTCAGCGCGACCTCGCCTGCGCTGCACGCAACTGTCAACTTCAACTCCACGAAGGTCTGATTATAATTTCGCAGGCGTAACCCTGAGCATCGAAGCATACGGACATGAATACGTCCTGAGTCTTTTTGGCAGGTGGACTTGGCAGGTCCGCAAGGTGTGCGTGCCAAAGGGTTTTGAGATGTATGTACATGATGATGTTTCGGCAGCGTGCAGAGTCAATCCTGAGCCGAGACTTTTTGGACGTGTCCTGTGACATAGATTTCCGAGAGGTGGCGCGGATCCTGCTGACGTACATGCGAAGAAGGGGAAGGTGCATCAAACTTAGTTAGCAGTTAGCTTTCATTGGTTGTTGCCGGCGGCTAGTGTTTACCAGCGCAGATTCTTGAGCTATGGGGGTATGTGTTTGCTGATCATGAGTGAGCTCCGCGCGTTCTTGTCAGGATGCGGAGGAAATCCTCAAGATTCTCAAGGACAGCTTTTGGCAGCAGAGGTTATGAACCTCCACTCTGTGTGTATGGCTGAGCAGAAGGACAAGCTGGACAAGGAAGCAGATGTATGCAAGTCTAGCATGGTTCTGAGCGCAAGATGATTTCAATTCTGAGCTTCGCAGTCATGGGCAAGGCGACAACCAGTGGAGCGATACCAGCCCTGTATATTCTGGCATAGCCTGCTCATTCTACACACAGTCCCGTCGTAGCATTCGCAGTATGGTCTCGTGTTGTGTGGTGTGTGTTGACAAATGCAAGAAGCAAGGTCCTACAGATGCTTTTGTAAATGTCATCCAGGCAGGGTGGATGGCACTGTTGTGGTCGACGAGTGCAGTCGTTTACGTGGCATGTTCTCGAGTGTTGCAGGGGAGTGCTGCCAACATCGATACTGTCTCCCTTGACATGACGAATGCCTTTGCTGATGGTGAGGCAGTCCTGATGTGTCCGTGTTGCCATATGCTGGAAGCAGAGGGTGCTTGCACCGTACAGGTGTTGGAAATCCTTGTGACGGCCATGACGATGGATGGTGCATACGTTGAAGGTGCCTGATGAGAACTTGAAGGATTCTGGTGCTGTAAGCTTGGTTGCATCTTGCAGGACGTGATGTCATCAACCTGTTACTGTTTTTGCCGATACGTCTTCTTCAGAGTCTGGCTAAAGCATACCAAACGTGTTCGACGCTTGTTATGTCCATCCCCAAACTGGCCCAAACTCTCCTCCGGGAACCTCCGATGTCTCCTTGCGCCAGGCTCCGGCTTCTGGGCGGCCCTCGGTGAGAGCACGGCCACCCGCCTGGTCCTGCAGCTGGACCGCGTCAGGCGCGGCCATAAGCTAAGCGCCTCCACAAGCAGTGCAATATGAAAAGTGCAATATTAGCCGTTGAAGTGCAATGAAAAGTTGTTTCAAAGAGTTTTCTTAACCGCGGCTTTGGCGATTGCTTAGGGGCTTACAAGGTTGCTGCGCCGTTCTGTGGCCACTGCACACTTGCCTCGACTGCCACTTTAAGCAGAGGCAGCACACCACCAACGATGTCCAAAGACATCAAACTGGGACAAAGTTCTGGAAGTGGCAAGCAGCTGGTATACTTCCCGCTGACCCGGCAACAGCAGGAAACAACACGGCCACATCCCCCACTACCACTAGGACCTTGTCGGAGTCCTGGGCAGATCTGAAAGAAGTGTCAAGCGGTGAGAGCGTTCAGGCTGGATGTGTCTGTTCCCTCGGCCGCCAGCAATGCTGCAGCTTTCATGAAGCGCCCGCTTCAGCTCATTTGGTGCAGGCGCCAGCGCTGGAGCATCAAAATTCCGGTTGGATACTCCAGCACATCAAGCTCCCACGCACACACGCACAGGGGAGACGAGCAGACTGGTTCGAAGTATCACGTTCCCGTCGATCCCCAGTTGCTGTGGGTGCTGCGTGTCGCAGAATCACGGGGACCCTGCTATGTGACGTTGTCCTTGCCTTTTCTTGATAGTCGTGAGGCTTGTTCGCGTGATTTATCCTTCTAGTTGCTGTCGGTCGTATGCAAGCTTGACATCAGCGACATGCCTGGTGCTTCCTTTTTCAGGTCGGTGATCGACATCTACCAGCCTCCCACGAGCTTCCGAACCACCGACCGCCAAAGCCAGGACAGCTTCTTATCCGTGCACTTGTTATGTAGGTGCTGGGCTGAGTGTTGAGCCTTGCAGTGACCTCCTTCTTGAGCCCTTGTCTTTTTTCAGGCAGAGGTTGCCCTTGGAGTGGGAGATGGTTGGCTGGATGTGCTCCCTTTGCAGCTCAGCTCAAAAACAGGTTTGCAGGGCCTTATGTGGCTTGGACCTAGATCAGTTTCCGTTGCTTGTGTGCGGCATGTTCGCAGCCTGAGGCAGCCTTGTGCCCCACCAATGGCTCAGAAGGTCAGATCGGAAGATAGCGGAAGTGTGTACAGTCTGCTGCAAAGGCATCGTGGTAGTCCACTTCGCCTTGTGGTTTTTGAGAGCAGGTGATCGTAGACGCCAGCCAGATGGTTGCAACCTTAGTCGAGGGCATGTTGGGCATGTCGTTCCTCTGGGGAAGATTGCTTCAAATCCGTGAGAGTCGGAAACAAGTTTCAGGCTGGCTTGGTGCAGGTCTTGATTTGTAATGCTCCTGTGTCTTTCGCCAGGTGTCGCAAATGTTCTTCACGTACTCGCTGCAGAGTTGGACAAGCTACCGTATTGTCGAAGCGGAGGACTCGGGCACTTGCCAAAATAACGAGGAAAATGCCTGAGTTCATATGTCTGATATGTCTAAAGTCGAATTGAGAAGAGTCTGAATCTGAAATCCATGTAGAGGCCTTCCCGCAGAACTTCGACATCGTCGTGGAGTACCTCAGCTCGCCGGCGCCCGTGATCTTGGGCTTCTCGGTGGTGGCTTGGCGCTGACCGAGACTCTGAGCGGTGAGCGGCGGACGCACATTCAACACACAACACACAACACACAACACACAACACACAACACACAACACACACGACACACACGACACACACGACACACAACACACAACACACAACACACAACACACAACACACACGACACACACAACACACACAACACACACAACACACACAACACACAACACCCAACACCCAACACCCAACACCCAACACACAACCAACACACACACACACACACACACACTTGTGTGTGTGTGTGTGTTTGTCCTGCTCTCTCTCTCTCTCTCTTTCTCTTTCTCTCTCGCTCTCTCTCTCTCTCTGTCTCCCTCTGTCGCGTACAATACAGTAACATACAAGATTCATACTACAACAGTTGCTCCCCCGATTGTGACGGGTACGCGCGTGCGTTGTTTTGTTTTGTTTTGTTTTGTTTTGTTTTGTTTCGTTTTGCATTGCTTTCTTTTGCTTTGTCTTGTCTTGTCTTGTGTCTTGTCATGTCATGTCATGTCACGTCATGTCTGGTCTTGCCTTGCCTTGCCTTGCTTTGCTTTGCTGTGCTTTGTTTTGTTTTCGTTCTGTTTAGTTTAGTCTTTAGTTTAGTTTTGATTTTTGAGTCTCTGTGTGTGCATAGGTATGCATGTGTCGTTGTTAGGTCCAGCTTCCAGCGGTTCCAATGAAGCCTCGACTTGCCGACGACCGCTTGCTCTATTTCACAACAGCCGCCTGGACTTCGCCATATTGGGGGGGGGGTTGAGAAGGCGAAGCGCACGCTAAACATACATATCCTGTGAACTTTTGAGGACTTCTTGGATGTGGGCTATCACCGAGCGGACGTGCACACTCTGCCAAGTGAGGCGCCGCTTCTCCAGGTCTTTCACTCGAACTAGTCGGGTGCTGATGTTCTGGGACTCTATGCAACTCCTACAACATGTTTGCAGCCGGCGGCGCCTCGAAGGTCCTGTGTTCAGGACGTACAGTCTAGGATACGGATCGGGTAAATCAACAGATGGGGTCCCTCTTTGGGTCTGGGAGCACGAGTGAGGGAGCTAGATTGTTCCTTCGCTGAAGCCCTGGTATTCTGTGATATTCTGCTGGAATCCATTTTTCAAACCTGTTTATTGGAAAGCCGTAGGGTTGCCGGGTGTAGAGTGTAGGGATGAGGGATTGGGAAATCTATTGTCACCAAAGCTCTTGGAAAATTTGGCGAGAGTTGCTTACGACTAGCCTGGGGCCCCTTGGGCGTGCCCGAAAACCTGGAAATCTAGTTTTTTCTAGCTTTTTCTAGCTTTTGCTAGCTTTCGCTAGCCTTCCCTAGCCTTCTCTAGCCTTTCGTAGCAGATCGGGGCCCGAGGCCAGGAAGGATTTAGCGAGCCAGGGAAAAACGCCAAGTTCACTTCTGACTCTTGGGAAACAATATTCCTGATTGCATAGAAAACGAAAACAAACAGGCCACACAAGCCTCACACCCAAACCCCACGCCCCGTCCGACCGATGACGGAAATTGTTGACTAGCTTTGCGGCACCCAGAGACTGTAGTTTCTTGAACAGGCATAATTCACCCAAGGAAATTTGTAGCTTACCCCAGCTTGTCATAGCTTTGCTTAGCTCTTCTTAGCTTTTCCTAGCCTAACCTGGCTTTCTCAGATTTCCTGTGGTTTTCTTTGGAATGCTTTCGGCAATCTAGATTTTTCCCATCATGCAAAGAGGGACCCAATCAATAGATTACGCGATACGTTTCAATGATACAGTTTCTGGTAGCCCTCCAAGGGCAGAAGCTGCGAGGATCACGAGGTCTGCCAAAGCATGTCAGACATGTCCCGGGAAGACGAAATGGGACACGTGATGACAAGGGCCCGCGACGCCTTTGCTGCTGTGAAGGCAGCAAAGGAGTCGAAGCAGAGCATAAAGCGGCCGAGGTTGCAGCCCACGCAGAACAAGCATCACGTAGCCAAGAGCTGCTCAGCTCTTTTTTGGTACTGGCCAAATCGCTGAGTTGGGCATTTCTGCCTTCTTTCTGGACCTGGCGTTGCAACACGTTGCAGCTCTTTTGATGCTTGGGACACGGAGAACCCTTTGTTGAGCATTGCCAATTAGCAGCACGGTTCTGGGCGTGGTGTGTGTCGCATGCTGAGCTATATATCAAAAACATGAAAAAAGTCAGAATTACAATGGCGAATTTATAAACCGACTTGCTGATTTAGTTGAATTACAACTTTAAATAAATACAAAACCTCCAAACAGCACTGTTTTGTCGGTACTTACATTCCAAAAGCAACTGTCACGAAAGCTAGCTCCTTGGAGCGTGCGAGACGTGCCGTTTACCAATCAGTCTCTCAAGTGTTCAGGTGGGTGATAAAGACTGCGAGCCTCACCTGGTATGAAAGTCCGTGAGTTCATGGCCACGGAGCAGGGGGCGAGGGGGGGCCACCCTCTCCCCAAATGATTGATTCCACCAATCTCAAGGCTACCCCTCCCCCCCGTCCCCCTTCCACCCCACTCCCCAAAAAGTCTTTGGTTGGAAATGTTTGGAAAGGTTCTTGGTTTAACGCTCAACCGTGCCAGGCCGTGGACCGGGAGATGTCCCTGATTTGGCGCTGGGATTTGGCAAAGCTTCCGAATCGGACGATTAGGACCCGGACTTTGTGCCTGGAAAACCAATCCCTGAAGTCCTTCTTCAGTACCATGAAGTGCATGTGTTGTGTTCATACATCTATTTTTATGCGTATGGTTGTTTGTTTATGCCTTCTTATGACATACGTTCCGGAATATGCCCTTTCTCATGGTCCCCTGTCCCGAAGGATGCACGTCGATCCGACGGTACCGCTTCGCTGGCAAATGTGGGTCAAAGAAGGTATCGAGGCCGTCAGCACGTGAAGCGCTTGCAGATAGCTCAGCTTTGAAGCACTGTCGATCTTCTGGCAGCTGGTTGAAGCTTTGTGTGACCAGTCCGGGACCGATGGTGGTAGCTTCGGTCTACGTTTGGTTGTTGTTGAGCCTTCTCATGTCCGCTGTCCGAATCAGCTTTGCTAGCTTTTTCGGGGCTCATGGAGCAGCGACCTTTCGTCTTGGTAGAGGCCTGGAATTCTGCATTCCAAGCACTGCGGATGCCAGCATCACTGAGAGCCACGACCTTACAGAACAGCCAGTGAAGCATGCCGCCAAGTTCTGTTCTGAATGGGTTGAAATGCACGCTTGGGTTCCTTCACTGGCTCGCCAATGTGCAGGCAGTTCTGCCAGGGGATGACGATTGGCCGCAGGACTACAGCATGGCCTGATGCCCGGCGAGTTGAAGTAGAGTACAAGCTCAAGTTAAGGTATAGAAGGTCAGAAGCAGGTCGTGCATGACATATAATATGATATACCTGCCAGTGTAGCCCGGGCACCAAGAGTTCCTTTATCTCTCAAGCGCGTGCCCTCATTCTGAAGGGTTCTTGGGGCAGCATGGTTGTAGTTGCAAGATCAGAATGAACTCTGAGGCAGATGCACGCTACAATTCCATCTACTGGACGCTTTCTGATGAGATCTCCAGTATTGGTGTTGCCCAGGCCGTTTGGGAGTCAAGGAGCCCGTTTGATGTGTCGAGTGGAGCAGATGCCAGATCGAAAGATGTGTTGAGAGATCTTTGACGAAATGGAATGCTGTGTGGGGCCTGTTCTTGCCAACAGCTTGTGCTGCCTTTCAGATCTGGCTAATCGTTTCCGCTTTCGTCTTTCTCCATATAAGTATACATCACACGGACCTCTTCTGACTTTTATGTGGCCTATCTTTTTCGCCAATGTTTCTGGGTACTGGTTCCCCCTCCTCACTATTCTCACGACTGGCAAGCACAAGTTTTGCAATGCCCAGCCACCATTTCTTCACTTCCACAGAAGAGCCGCTTCTTCCGTCACCTTCAGCCACTCTCGGTTGCCCAATGATCAAATTTTGTGAATAATGACTCCCGGATTTCTCAACTTGACGCAGGGAAGCTGCATCAGAAATTTAAAGTCGCCCTGAAGAACTTAGCAGTGGATTCGGACAGCGCATCCCGACCGCATGTGAAGAGCATGATGGTATATTGATGTGTATCGAGCGTACGGTATGGCACGGGTTGATGCACAGTGGCCTTGGCACACGATGGTGTAATGCGCCAGCGACAAGCCTCCTGGTGTTTTCCAACTGGTGCGTCTTCACGCTTCCTTGATTCTATGTTGTAGCTGTGTGCCGAAAAATCAGTTCGCCTCGGTTTCCTGCAAATGCACAGGCCTCCCGAAGCTTTTTTCAGTCACAGCTGTCAGAGCCGTCACAGCCATCACCGCTTCAGGTGGATCCGAGAACCGGTGAGATTCTGAAGGCCGACATCAGCATGAGTGGCGGTCGCTCAGCTGATGAGGTCTCGTCATGTCTCGTCTGCTCCCAGTCCTTGTGCTAGGAACTAGCAGTCTTTGGGGCCATGTCTTCGCGGGTTTTGCCCCGTTGCCTCGATGAAGCGCTTCTGCTGGTTCAGCACTGACGGCTTCTCAGTGAACCCAGAGGGTCGTAGACCCTTGACGATGTCCATGATGATGATGATGAGGATGGCAGAAACAGGGATGATTCACAGTTTTCAATCGCTTTCGGGCCATCCGTTGTCTAGCTTTCCAGGTTGGGTGTGGGCTTGGCTCTCGGAGCTGGACCTCCTCACGGCCAACACGACGCACCAGGATCGCCTGGCACTCCTGGCCCAAGGTGCAGAGAGAAGGAATTCTAGTTGAGAGCAGATCTTTGCGAGAGGTTTCTTGGGTGAAAGCTGTTTTTTGCACCACGCCCTGGCGAGGTGCCAAGAAGGCGCACCCACACAGGCGAAGCCCTCTGCATGGAGTCACGGAGTGTAGACTCGTAGACTCTCGTATCAGATTCGCTCCATCAGCTCAGTGGCTCTGTAAGAAGCTGACCCGGCAGGCCCAACAAAAGGCGGATGGTGAAGTCGCCGCTCTCCATCAAAAGTACACATGAAAAGTTATGATTGCAAGCTTGGGGGGAACCAGGTGATGTGCGATGCGGTGCATCTTGTTGCTGAGGCACACGCGTCACGACGACATCCGGAGCTCTCCTCCCTCCGCGGAGACGGGCCACACTTCCCAGGCAGAGCCTTTTGCTGTCGCCGTCACGTGTTGTGGTCCTAGTTTTCTGTGGCCCTTTGCAGCTGCCACAACGCGGCACGCCGGGCCCGCTGCTGCTCTCTATGGGGCAGCCCCTGACGGCACTGCAACTCGAGGCGCAAAGCTGTAGAGCTCCTTGCGTTCGAAGCACGTCTTTGAGGACTAGGAACAACAACAGGAACACAAGCTTGAGCAGGTCCTGATGGGAGAGGGCCTGAAGAGTGTGGTCATGCACGAGATGGGCCACATCCTGGGCCTGAGGTTCGGTTCATGTGGAAGAGTTCGAGATTCGGACCTGAATTGCAACCTTGACGTTGAGGGCAATGAAAGTTGTGCTCAGGCACAACTTCAAGGGCAGCACTGCCATCAGCCAGAAATGCTTGCAGAACCGGAGCTGCGCCTCGGTAGCACCCTGATATCAGCAGTCCTACTGCAATGATGTACGCTCTTACGTGCTCCGCCTCACCTGCCAACCCACAACATGCGCACGGTTCACGGCGGGGTCCACGCAGTGCACTTCCGAGCTTCCTGTTCGAACGGTCGGGTCGTGAATACGGTGTCGAGGAGAGGCACCACAGAGCAGCCGATCCGTAAACCCGAACCTTTTTTAAGTCACGGGCAGTTTGCGCCAAAAGCCTCCTAGGACCCCTGAAGCCTTGTTTGCGTTAATTAGCAGTTGGCGTCAGCAAGCGTTGCAAGACCTTGTGGTCTGTCTGTGCTCCTGTGCTTGTTGCCACATGAAGCTTGGGTAGGGTGGTGGGATCTTCCAAGAAGGGAGCAAAGTCAGGGCAGACTCCGTCAGGTGTCGCCGTGCTCACATCAGGCCCGCCCAGCATCATGATCAGCCGCGGGCCCTCTCACATCAGGCCCGCCCATGGCCAAGCATCATGAGCATCAGCCGTGGGCCCTCTCACATCAGGCCCGCCCAGCATCATGATCAGCCGCGGGCCCTCTCACATCAGGCCCGCCCACGGCCAAGCATCATGAGCATCAGCCGTGGGCCCTCTCACATCAGGCCCGCCCAACATCATGATCAGCCGCGGGCCCTCTCACATCGGGCCCGCCCACGGCCAAGCATCATGAGCATCAGCCGTGGGCCCTCTCACATCAGGCCCGCCCAGCATCATGAGCATCAGCCGCGGGCCCTCTCACATCAGGCCCGCCCACGGCCAAGCATCATGAGCATCAGCCGTGGGCCCTCTCACATCAGGCCCGCCCAGCATCATGATCAGCCGCGGGCCCTCTCACATCAGGCCCGCCCACGGCCAAGCATCATGAGCATCAGCCGTGGGCCCTCTCACATCAGGCCCGCCCAGCATCATGATCAGCCGCGGGCCCTCTCACATCAGGCCCGCCCACGGCCAAGCATCATGAGCATCAGCCGTGGGCCCTCTCACATCAGGCCCGCCCAGCATCATGATCAGCCGCGGGCCCTCTCACATCAGGCCCGCCCACGGCCAAGCATCATGAGCATCAGCCGTGGGCCCTCTCACATCAGGCCCGCCCAGCATCATGAGCATCAGCCGCGGGCCCTCTCACATCAGGCCCGCCAACGGCCAAGCATCACCACATCAGCTGCCCAGCATCATGAGCATCAGCCGCGGGCCCTCTCACATCAGGCCCGCCCACGGCCAAGCATCATGAGCATCAGCCGTGGGCCCTCTCACATGAGGCACGCCCAGCATCATGAGCATCAGCCGCGGGCCCTCTCACATCAGGCCCGCCCACGGCCAAGCATCATGAGCATCAGCCGTGGGCCCTCTCACATCAGGCCCGCCCAGCATCATGATCAGCCGCGGGCCCTCTCAGATCAGGCCCGCCCACGGCCAAGCATCATGAGCATCAGCCGTTCATGAGCATCAGCCGTGGGCCCTCTCACATCAGCTGCCCAGCATCATGAGCATCAGCCGCGGGCCCTCTCACATCAGGCCCGCCCACGGCCAAGCATCTCATGAGCATCAGCCGTGGGCCCTCTCACATCAGGCCCGCCGAGCATCATGAGCATCAGCCCACGGCCAAGCATCATGAGCATCAGCCGTGGGCCCTCTCACATCAGGCCCGCCCAGCATCATGAGCATCAGCCACATCAGGCCCGCCCACGGCCAAGCATCATGAGCATCAGCCGTGGGCCCTCTCACATCAGGCCCGCCCAGCATCATGATCAGCCGCGGGCCCTCTCACATCAGGCCCGCCCACGGCCAAGCATCATGAGCATCAGCCGTGGGCCCTCTCACATCAGGCCCGCCCAGCATCATGAGCATCAGCCGCGGGCCCTCTCACATCAGGCCCGCCCACGGCCAAGCATCATGAGCATCAGCCGTGGGCCCTCTCACATGAGGCACGCCCAGCATCATGAGCATCAGCCGCGGGCCCTCTCACATCAGGCCCGCCCACGGCCAAGCATCATGAGCATCAGCCGTGGCCCAGCATCATGAGCATCAGCCGCGGGCCCTCTCACATCAGGCCCGCCCACGGCCAAGCATCATGAGCATCAGCCGTGGGCCCTCTCACATCAGGCCCGCCCAGCATCATGAGCATCAGCCGCGGGCCCTCTCACATCAGGCCCGCCCACGGCAAAACATCATGAGCATCAGCCGTGGGCCCTCTCACATCAGGCCCGCCCAGCATCATGATCAGCCGCGGGCCCTCTCACATCAGGCCCGCCCACGGCCAAGCATCATGAGCATCAGCCGTGGGCCCTCTCACATCAGGCCCGCCCAGCATCATGAGCATCAGCCGCGGGCCCTCTCACATCAGGCCCGCCCACGGCCAAGCATCATGAGCATCAGCCGTGGGCCCTTTCACATCAGGCCCGCCCACGGCCAAGCATCATGAGCATCAGCTGTGGGCCCTCTCACATCAGGCCCACCCAGCATCATGAATGAGCATCAGCCGCGGGCCCTCTCACATCAGGCCCCCACGGCCAAGCATCATGAGCATCAACCGTGGGCCCTGTCACATCAGGCCCGCCCAGCATCATGAGCATCAGCCGTGGGCCCTCTCACATCAGGCCCGCCCAGCATCATGATCAGCCGCGGGCCCTCTCACATCAGGCCCGCCCACGGCCAAGCATCATGAGCATCAGCCGTGGGCCCTCTCACATCAGGCCCGCCCAGCATCATGATCAGCCGCAGGCCCTCTCACATCAGGCCCGCCCAGCATCATGAGCATCAGCCGTGGGCCCTCTCACATCAGGCCCGCCCAGCATCATGAGCATCAGCCGCGGGCCCTTTCACATCAGGCCCGCCCACGGCCAAGCATCATGAGCATCAGCCGTGGGCCCTCTCACATCAGGCCCGCCCAGCATCATGAGCATCAGCCGCGGGCCCTCTCACATCAGGCCCGCCCACGGCCAAGCATCATGAGCATCAGCCGTGGGCCCTCTCACATCAGGCCCGCCCAGCATCATGAGCATCAGCCGCCGGCCCTCTCATCATCAGGCCCGCCCACGGCCAAGCATCATGAGTACAGCCGTGGGCCCTCTCACATCAGGCCCGCCAAGCATCATGAGCATCAGCCGTGGGCCCTCTCACATCAGGCCGCCCACGGCCAAGCATCATGAGCATCAGCCGTGGGCCCTCTCACATCAGGCCCGCCCAGCATCATGAGCATCAGCCGCGGGCCCTCTCACATCAGGCCCGCCCATGGCCAAGCATCATGAGCATCCAGCCGTGGGCCCTCTCACATCAGGCCCGCCCAGCATCATGAGCATCAGCCGCGGGCCCTCTCACATCAGGCCCGCCCACGGCCAAGCATCATGAGCATCAGCCGTGGGCCCTCTCACATCAGCCGTGGGCCCTCTCACATCAGGCCCGCCCAGCATCATGAGCATCAGCCGCGGGCCCTCTCACATCAGGCCCGCCCATGGCCAAGCATCATGAGCATCCGCCGTGGGCCCTCTCACATCAGGCCCGCCCAGCATCATGAGCATCAGCCGCGGGCCCTCTCACATCAGGCCCGCCCACGGCCAAGCATCATGAGCATCAGCCGTGGGCCCTCTCACATCAGGCCCGCCCAGCATCATGAGCATCAGCCGCGGGCCCTCTCACATCAGGCCCGCCCACGGCCAAGCATCATGAGCATCAGCCGTGGGCCCTCTCACATCAGGCCCGCCCAGCATCATGAGCATCGGCCGCGGGCCCTCTCACATCAGGCCCGCCCACGGCCAAGCATCATGAGCATCAGCCGTGGGCCCTCTCACATCAGGCCCGCCAAGCATCATGAGCATCAGCCGTGGGCCCTCTCACATCAGGCCCGCCCAGCATCATGAGCATCAGCCGCGGGCCCTCTCACATCAGGCCCGCCCACGGCCAAGCATCATGAGCATCAGCCGTGGGCCCTCTCACATCAGGCCCGCCCACGGCCAAGCATCATGAGCATCGGCCGCGGGCCCTCTCACATCAGGCCCGCCCACCCCCCTTGGTGTCGGATCGCAGTCATGCTGAGGTGCAAGCGAAGCATGCTTATTGGCCCACCTTTGCGCTTAAAAATGTCTCGCCTGAGGCACTGCCGTCCATGGTCTCTCGGCAAGTGCTCGGCTGCAAAAAGATTCCTAAAGCCTCTTATCAACCTGCTAGGCTTGTATGTAAGGTTGTTCTTTGTACCGCCCGCTGCATAACGCCCGGCGTATTTGACTAAGGAAAGAGAGTGAGCTTAAGGAGTTTCAGTGGTTCTGCATTGTCCAGTTTGTGCCAACACTATTCAGCCATTTTGCAGGTCAATCGCTAGAACGTTAAAGAATTGGAATATGAAAAGCAAGTCCTAGGCATCATGGACTACCTGCCCATGAACCTTCCGCAGCCGGGGCGGGAGCCCAACTCTGTCCACATTTTCCCACCAACCATAGGCGCCTACGACGCCACGGCTGCAAAGGTGATTTGTTTGTTTCAGGCCATGCAGTTATTTGCGCTAGATAGTGGAGCTCTTGTCAAGTTATTGGCTTGTGGGCTTGGTGCACCTGCAGCTGCGGTTGATTCTCTGAGCCGCTTTGCAAGCAGCTGGAGTGCTGGAAGGCTCTATGCAGTCGGTGCTCATGTTTAGCGGAAGCTCAGGACAAGCTTGCCATACGTTATGGGTATTCGGAGCCTTCTGACTCACCTGCAGACGCTTTCTATGGGTTGCTCAGCCGCAGACCCTAACAGACCCACTCCTACTGGTACTTTTTTGAGTCTCTGTTTCATGATTCGGAAAGCATTGGTGGAAGGACAGTTGCTCTCTTCTGAGGCTCGGGGCTATGTTGGAGGAGGCGAAGGCCTTTGATGTTTGCTATGACGCGGACGAAGAGTTGGGTGAGGATCCCTTCTGTATGGCCGAAGATCTCGGTGAGGACTGAGCGGGATGAGAGCCCACCCGAGCCCCAAGCAAGCCCGTCCCCGAAAGCCCGGAACGACGCCGAGCACAAGGACCCTGTGGCTTTCCATGAGCAGCGCCTCAAGCGAATCGCTCAAGCCCAGAGCGAGCTGCACAAGCGCTACGTGCAGGCCATCGTATGCTGTAGGTCTTGTAGAGCTTGTGCCCGACCAGCCGCGAGTTGGTTTGTCCTGAAACCCAGCGTTTCTTCAACACGGACAGAAGCCTTTGAAAACATCCTGCTTTTTGCCACTACTCCACTGCTAAGTCTTTATTGTTCGTTTCCTTCTCCCTGCTTGTTCTTCCCCTTCACGCATTGAGCGACTGATAGAGTCGAAGCAGCGAGAAGGATTTAAGAGAGAGATGGCTGATGCTCCTTGACTTTGCTGCTGTTGCATGTGTGTGTGAGAGAGGAGAAAGAAAAGAAAAACAAAGAGATAACGTCGCTGTACATAAGATCTGAAGTATGTAACGGTGATCGGCCAAGAAGACACTCCCCACACTCTTCGCCTGATTTCGCTACGTCACTGCTGGTGTTTGCCGTGATTGGGGTCTGGGCCATTGGGATCGTCTTCCTGCTGTGTTCATGGTACATACACACACACACACACCAAAGTACCACACATCAGGATCACCATCATCACCGTCATCATCATCGTCGTCACAATCCTCATCATCATCATCATGATCATGATCATGCTCAATGATCATGATCATGATCATTATCATGATCATCATCATCACCATCATCATCATCACCACAACACTTGGGCACATGCAACCTTATGCATATAGTATGTCAGTTATCCACGTTTCTGCTTAAAGTACATCCTCCGCTTGCAGAGCATGTGTGCTTCGACACCGTGAGAGATCAAACGGGGAAAAACGTTTGTTCCTGCGAGGTCTTGCCCGATCCCCCCTCTCGCCCCATGCCCCATGACGGAAGTGGACGCGAGGGGAGCCACAAGCCTGGCTTGTGGCTTCTTACGCCCGCATTCAGGCCGACAACCAAAAGTAGATGTAGGGATAGAGGCTTTGGAACCGTTCGGGACCTTAAGCCCCGAACCCCAAACCCATACCCCAAATCCCGAACCCTGAACCCTGAACCCCAAACCAAAAACCTAAGCCTTTCAGCTTAAAGCCCTGCTTGAACTCTGAACCCTGAACCCTGCCCGCAGCCCCTAATACCCAAATTCAGAACCATACATCAGACCCGTAAACCCTGACCCTGGCTCAAAAAATCTCTACCCTCTGACAAAACCCCAAAACCAACCCCAACCAACCTATCCTCTAAGCCCCCAACCTAAGCCTTGTTTCCCGGTTTGGGAAAGAATGGAATGGTAGCTGGCGGCAGGCTTTTGGCCACGCCATTTTGCTAGCAGCTGGCTTCCCTACTTTTTCCTAGGCTGACTGGTCTGCCGCACCCTGTTCAACCTGACAGAATCTTGTTTGTGGGAGTCGATGGGCATTTTGCTCGTGGGGCCAAGCAATTTTTGCGCGGGACCTTCGAGCTGGCTTTTCCCGGTCGCCTTCCTCGTAAGTTTCCGCTAAGTCTGAGTGCTGGTCTCCTTTCATTGGGCGATGGATATGGGTTTTGGTTGCTGGCATTCGTGGTGGCGATAGTTCCTGAGACATGCCACCTCCTTGTCCGGTCCTTCTGAGATTCTGTGTCCTTCAGCGAAAGAACGGGAAATCAATCAAGATCTAGACATCCCATGACCGAACTACTCCTCGGCTAACTTGGCTTCTGAAGGCGGATGGCCCGTGGCGCAACTATGGCAAGTCCTTGAGCTCTTTGCTCAGGCCTTTCTTAGTGCAAGTTGCGTGCATTCATGCCTTTGCTCTGTTGGGGGCTGCCTGTCTCATGTCTCAGTTCAGACAATGCCTTGGTAACAAAGATAAGCGATGGGGTCATCAAGGCTTGTAGTGAAGTGGCAGCTGCGGCGGCCTTCCATGGTCCCAAACATGTCTCCCGTGACTGGTGCTCTTGAGGCAGGAGCAGTGCTTCCCACGGTTCTTTGCAATGCAGACTGAAATCGTTTGGGAATGGAACTCGGTGAGTGTTCATCCTGTTGCGCTGTCTTTTTGCTGGCTCTGAAACCACGCCTGCTTTCGGCTTTCGGCTTGGTCTTGCAAGTTGCAAGATGTCGCTGAGTCTGCTCAGTCTGACAGGGAAGCAGAATTCGCGGGCCACAGATTCTTGGTCGCAGTGGTCAAAAACGATTGCTTCGCTCGCATGTCTGACAGCCTGCCTCGAGTCTGCACCTTGATCTCGAGGCCTCATAGCTTGGGTTGGTGGCATTCGCAACAGCTATGCCCACCGCGGTGCAGTGTGGAATGCAAGCAAGGCCACAATGGCTTGCCTTTGATTATGAGAAGCACCTGCCGAAGCGGCAGTGCTCACAAAGCGAGGCGCGTCGACCTGTGCCTCTTCAGATGCAGCGCCGTGCGCTGGAGGCGCGGGGGGTGCTGGTGGTCATATGCTGGTGGCTATAAGAGACTTAAGGGTCGAATGTCTTTGTGGCTGGCCGAAGCATGCCGTGGTAGCTGCCGACAAGTTTGGGGGCTATTCTGTCTAAACTTGAATCACTGAAGAATTTGTCAGCAACTCCGGAAAAGGGCAAACCAGTTGACACATGCGCAGTGCTTCATGAAGAGGGTTGCGCGACAGGCCAACTTGCAGTTCTAGGCTTCACTAACCAGTGCATACTGCAATCCTTGGCACACAGCCAACTATTTCTTGAGCGAACTGTTCGCACTCGGGCCTACTGTACACCTACGGTCGAGTTGCCTTCCTCATTTTCTTGTATCAGGAAAATTACTATGCATCTCTTGTAATCTACAGTAAGCTGTAAGGGCGCTCCTCCGATGCTGTAGCATGATCCGCTTCGCAAATTCCTACATCTTCGTCTTCACTAGAGCGATGCGGCGCGGCGTGCCCCGGCCCTGAATCCCCAAAGAAAATTCGAGCAGAAGCCTGAGCCCCAGGCCTGAACGCCCGAACCCTTTAAATGCTAATCCCCATTAAACTGTAAAGGATTCTTGCTCCACGTGCTCAGTTGTGCAGCCAAGTCGTTTCATCTGCTCCAGAAGCCTGATGGTAGTTGATGTTCTCATACGATTCCAGAGCCAGCATGACGCCGCAGAACGTGCTGAGCACCATGCACTGTGCACAGGCACTTCTGAAGCTACTCCGACCCGATACAGCTGGCTTGTTGCCGCCAGCAGAGGCGGGATCCCAGACGATGTGCGGATGTGCGCTTGCTACGCACCTTAGATTCATGGAATAACACACCTGGGATTCAACACCGATGCTTTAGAGCAAGGAGCGGGGGGCAACCCTGAAGCTCACATTCTTCAGTTTCGAATTTTCAGCCTTTCCAAAGACCTCCATCCGCAAAATGTTGCGAGCATACGCATCATTAAAAAAACGTTGCCGGTGCAGCTGGGGGAGTCCGCGGGCCCATCTCCCATCTCGCAAAGCCGACGCCGAAGCCGTGCTGAGCATTTCAAAAATGTCCCAAACTTTCAAACACGGGCCCGTGGGATGAGTGCGCTTGTGACTGGTTCGACGTCTGTGATGGGCCCAACAAGACTTTGGTGTTCAAACCGACTGAAACTCCCTGATTGTCAGGCACTGCCGTTTGCAGTGACGGGAGAGGCCATGTCCTGAGCTTTTGTGGGCATGTGCGAAGTATGTGCGAAGTATGTGCGAGGTCGGTGCTTTCAAGCTTCTGTCCCACTGGCTGATTTTCATGTCAGGAGGATTCGTTGAGTAGCCTGGACCTCGTGCGACTGTCTGAGAAACTTGGCTGGAAGTGAAGAATTGTTGACATGGTTGGCATAGAGTTCTGGATGCTGGTGGTCTCGCTGAGGAAGCTCATCAAAGAGCTCCTGGGCAAGCTCCTTTCATCAGAGCGCTTGCTGCAGGTCCGGAAGCAGGAGAATTGGGAAGGTGAGCTGCGGAGAAGCTCACAACTCAAGCCCTTCAGCTGCCCGTGCCAGGAGCTCCTCCTAGACCAGAACGCCCCAGAGAATGCTGCCTTGACGGTGGAGGAGTTTCTCACCAGGCACCGGGGGACCGGGGGTGCAGCTGGTTGCAAATTGCCTTCTCTTTAAAGGGGGAGGTCCAAAACCCAAAACCCAAAAACCCAAAACCCTAAACCCCCCTCCCCCTCCCCTTCCTCAACTCGCCCCATTCCGGGCAGGCTGAGCGACGGCATCCTCGGCGGCTTCCACCTGAATCTGGGCCACGAAGAGGCCTCGGCTCCACGGACCGCGGTGCCTGGGCAGGCAGAAAAAGCGCTCTTCTCTGCCAAAGGCGGTGCCTCTGCACTTTTCTGGGGGCTCCTAGAGTAAGAGACCCAAATAGGGGGACCATTTCGCGGCGTGCCTCGGTCATCGTGCTTTCTGGGCCCTGTGTGCTTTGGGAGACTTGGAGTGCCATGCTAGTCATCTCGGAGTGGTCCCTTGAAACCGGGGTGTGTCTTCTTGAACGGTGGCTTTATGCCGGGAAAAGATGTTAGTGGCTTTCTTCCGGTAGCACCGGGGCTTCCGCAAGGAGATGACACTTCAGCTGGAGTTTGTTCGTGGCATGACGGCCCTGTACCATGAGAAGGCTCTGGGATAGGGTGTGAGCAGAGAGCCCTAAGCCGTAAACCTTAACCCTAAACAGCAACCCTAAACGGCCCTAAACCCCAAACCTTAAATCCTAAGCCCCTCCAAATCCCAAACTCCAAACCCCAAATCCTAAACCAGCAAATCCTAAACCAGCTTTCATAAGCAGTTTTGACCTTGGTAGGAGCTCCCGGCCTCGCTGGAGGCGCAGCTCCTGCCCCTTCTGCGGCAAGTCACAGCTCGAGAGATGTCGAGAAAGAAGCGAGCTTCGGAAGGAGAATACAAAGAGAATAAACAGCTAGAATGAGAATAGCATGAGATAAAGAGAACATGACAAGAGGATAACTAACTGCAAAAGAGAGAACAGAAGGCGAGCAAAGCACAGGAGACGAGCGCAACAGAGGACAAAGTAATAGCCAGTACCGGCCACCGATGCCGCGATGCCTTCTGAAGGCTCCAGCTGCGTCAGCTGCGTCGTGACACCGCCGCCGCGGAGCAGCGCCTTCAAAGTGCTCCTCGGCAGAAGGCGAAAGGCGAAAGAACTGCTTTTCTCCTTCTCAGTTCCCTTCTTCTCTTTCTCTTCTCTTTCTCTTCTCTTTCTCTTCTCTTTCTCTTCTCTTTCTCTTCTCTTTCTCTTCTCTTTCTCTTCTCTTTCTCTTCTCTTTCTCTTCTCTTTCTCTGCTCTCTGACTCTCCGACCCAGGCGACGTCTCCGCGGTGTTTTCGTACTCTTTCGCTTTGGGACTTCTCAGGCAACGGCCGCTTCGAAATCCATGGAGTGGCCGACTCTCTTGGAGGCCCCCTTTCTGTTTGCCGTGGGGAGAGGACCGTCAGGGGCCACCGTGTTCGCGTGTGTTGCTTGTTTTATTCTTTTCGTCCGCTTCTTCTTTGGTGAAAAGTCGGCAGCTCAGTTCAGGTGCATGTGACACTGCTCAGTCGCATCTTGACTGCAAGTCCTCTCCAATCCCCGTCGGAGTCCAATCCCTTGCAAGGGCTCCGAGGCCGAAGCAGGGCTCTGAATGTGATGACTTGCAGAATCTAGAGATCAGCCAAGGCGAGCTGGCTTCAGCGCTGTGCCGAAAGGGCAACGAGGAGTGCAAGGAGCTGCCATGGCTGCCATGCTTCACGATGCTTCGCGTGGTTGAGACGGTTGAGTGCAGTTTCGGACTGCCCTGCGCATTTCGAGCAGGCTCTGAGAATCCTGTGGCAACCGCCGTGACAGCCTCATCTGCATGCCAGGACTCCAAATCTGCCGGGCAGCGGGTCACTTCTCATTTCCCGGCCTTGGCACTGGCATCTAGACACATTTAGACTCGGGGTTGCGGCAAGTGGGTGGAGGCGAACCTGAATGCAAAGCCTGTTGAGACTGACAGCCCCGAAACAGCTCAAAGACTTAAAGAAGAGCTGAGGCATTCATGGCACTCGCTTCCACTTTGTGCTGAAGCTCTGACAAAAAATCTCCTCGCGCCGCCGCTACTCGGCTGCCAGGCGTACCTTATACCTCTTCAGGCTTTGGCATATTGTTTTATGACCCTTGGTGCTTTCTTTTTGGTTTGTTTTTGCTGTTTGGTGGCCTCCCCTCCTGCTTTATTTGCACTGCTTGCTGATGAGCTGGTCGTTGCTGGCTTCGCTTTTGTTTTCACCGACTTTTTCTTTTGCCGTTTCTCCGCTTCCTTGTCTGATTCCCACCTATTGTGATAAGCTAGAATCACAGATGTTCTACAAGCATATGCAACTTTTTAGAAGCAAGGCGACGAAGTTGTGCCTACTGGCAGCAGATGTTTCGTCCCACCTGCATCAGTTGTGTGGTATAGCTGTGCATTCACAGTGCTGGAAGATGGTCCTCTTGTGTTGCATACTTACAAAAGCAGCAAATGCGATGCTTTGTCAGCCGTCAGAACGTGGAGTGAAGAATGTCGATGAGCCTCTGGTGCTGTTTTGTCGTTCTCTGAGGTCGATGCAGGCTGCGAAGGAAGGCGGCTTGCATTTGCCTTGGTGGGGGGCTTGTCAAGTCTAAGCAATGAGAAGACCGCTACCGGGCTCGGCCAGAGCCTGACGTGGGAGCAGAGTCGTTTGCATGTTCTGGCGGTGTCCTGACCTTTGCTCGAAGGCTGGATGAACATCCTGCTGCAACTACTGCAGCTGGACCTGACATCTGTACATCTTAACCTGGTCTCCTGGGAACGGAGCTGACACGTGCGACGTGCCCAGGGACCGGGTGGCCCCAGCAGACGTTAGGACTTGCAAGGCTTTTGCAAGGCTTGGTGCTTCTGAATTGGGAGGAGGAAAAAATGTCGAGAGGAAACCTTGAACAATATGCACACAGACTGGTGGGGAACCGTGTCTCGTGCATCTGCGTCGTCCCACATTGCATCATGATGCACTTAGTGACTTGGTGACAGCTATGTTTGTATCGTCCGAGACATGCCTTTGCTCATTATGTGCGGAGTGGTTGTGTGTGCGCTCTCAGTGCTCTCATGTCTCGCTCGTTGATAAGTGAGACCACTGTACACGGGTGTCTCCTGCAGCAGGAGTTCGATGCAGAGTTGGCTCAGATGAGGTGGTAGCACACCCTTTCAGAACCACAGCACCAGTTGTGCAGTCACAGCCATAGCCTCTGCCTGTGGCCACCTCTGGCCAGATGACAGACTTTGTGGCAGTCGATTGCAGCTGTCCACTTACACAGTCAGCCCTACAACATACAAACGGTCATGCAATCTAATGTGGCGCGTTGCTGACCTGTCCCCTCCATTAGTTCTGGGCCGGAGTCTCAGCTCGTGTGGCTACCATGTGCCATGCTGCCAGAAATTCTCATCCATGTTGGACCAGCTGAAGACACGCGCTGCCAGGCAACCTCATGCCCTTGCGAATCATTGGGCTGAGCCTTTGGCGGCAATCAGTTTGGTTGGTTTCATGCATAGCAACTGGGAGCTCGAATGTTGGAACACGTTCTTTCGCAGTGCTGTCTGCTTGTGCTGCAGTGTCTCTCGCAGAAGTCATGCTTGTTGCAATATCCTTTTGAAGCTGTCAACAGTATGGCGCTTGCTTGGAGTGCTGGTCTAATCCGGCGGTAAGCGTTGCCAGCCCTTGTGTGCCGTGATGCGCGCAAAGGGTATACGGTGCAGGTTGCGCAAGATGCCACGAAAGCACGGTGCCCAAATGATTGGGCTTCAATCTCAAAAATCCTCAACCGTTAGATCCGGAGATTAACAGCGAAAGGCTAACCCCTGAACCTTGGAGCACTACTGAGTCACTACTGCGAGAATGCCAAAAGCTTGCAACCGAAGCCAGCCGCCATCGCCCGTTCTGCAGGAAGCACTTATGCCTCTGCAATGTCAGAGAAAAACCAGAGGAAGGAGCTCTTTTGTTCACTCCGCACTTAAACCTCAAGACTCAAAATATTGCACGATTACACATTCGGGTCTTTTCTTCTCAACGTTTTCGAGTTCGGGTCTCACAGAGAGCCGGCGCCGGGCCTCAGTGTTCCCGAGTTCTCTTTCTCACTTCTCACCGTAGGTGCCAGCTTGCCGGGAAGAGATAAGGAAAGAAAAGGGGGGGGGGGTTGTAAAAAGGCAATGTGTCAATGGTGCCGACCCTGATCACCTTTTGCTGCAAGGACGCTTTGTTGCCTTTCCCTGGCAGAGCCCAACGTCCGAGCCCTTGGCACTTGAGAGTTCCGCTTTCTTGCATGAATCGATTCGTGGCCTGGTAAGGCTGGCAAGCTTGCTGATGGAGAGTCTGTGAACTGGTGCGCAGATGCTGCTGCACGCACGTCTGCTCAAGTGAACTTGTGCATGCTTGCCAGCTTTGATGAACATTGTGGAAGCCAAGCTGTCACCTGCAGTCTGCATGCCTTGCAGTTCCACGCGGGCTGAATGCCTGGTTGTCCTACGAGATGTCACTGCGATGCGTGAGCAGAAGGAGGTGCATACTTTCACAGAAGGAACAAAGAAATCTGCATTTCATACTGATGTTCTGATTGCCACGATTGCCTTTTTGTGGCAGGCCGAGGCCTATGCCATGCTCGGACATGACGACAAGGCCTTGCGCGAGGCCTCTTCGGCGGAGGCCTGAATCAGCGCTCTCTCACATGCTCTCATCAACACCATCAAACTGTGTGAGGGTCAAGAGTGCATAATACAACCGATGTCTGACTGCGTACTCAAGCACTCTGCGTACATCACGGATGTCGGGCGAGCCCTCGCCGCAAGGGACTGGCGAAGGCCTCCTTCGCAGAGACGGAGGCTGCCGAGGCCGAAGCCGTCTGGATCCCAAGAGCGCTCGCACTTGGTGTTGCGGGGCATCATGGAGCATCTGCATCTCTCGCGCTGTTTTCTCTTGGAATTCTGACAGTTCAGAGGCACACTGGTCGAAGAAGGTCCAGGAGATGAAGGACCGGCTGAGGTCATGCGGGCCCATGCGGCTGGGTGTAGACTCCACAGCTTTTATCTGAGAGAGATGCGCGCTTTTTGAGATGCATAGAAGCTGCTCCGTTTACCAAGCGCTCTCGGCCAGGTCAGCAGAGGCCGACGCAGAAAAGTCCAACCAAGCAGTGGAGGCAGCCCGAACCGGCTTTTGCTGGCCTCTGGGTGCTCCAAGTTGTGGAGCATTGTGGAGCCTAATGGGAGTCTTCCTAAATTCTTCCTTGCCGTTCAACGTGCCTCGTGGTGGTCCAATGCCGTCAGCGTGCAGGAAGCGAAGAAAGCTGAGAAGCGGGCTGAAGACGCAAGGCGCCCGAAACATGTGCCCCAGCGCATCTCAGCGCACTGATCCCGCGGTTCACTGCTTCAGAAACCAGTTCAACAGGTCGCCCTTCGCTTTTGACCTGCATCCTAAGGCCAGGGCCGAAGCGATACGAGACAAGCAGCGTGAGTCTGCCGCATGCCTGCACGGTGGCCGTGGTCAGTAGAAGCAAATCATGATCATGCACGTAGCCTTCAGCTCCCATCGAAACCTTCCGTGAGCCCTGCCTCAGGAAGTCTCATCAGAGCCGGCCCAGGAGCCCGTCCGAAGACGTTGAAACACGACATCCATCCGGAAAGCAAAGGGGTGCTCTTGAGGCTTTCCGATACGGTAGAGGCGAGTGTTGGTGTCCAGCATGGGCAAGCCCCCTCGCTGACCAGAACTTTGCAGAACTTTCTGGTGAACTCCAAGAGCCCGCGGTGTCCTTTACAGGAGCGATGCATGAGAGACTTTGCATCCTGCACTGTCTGGCACTCAGATCTGTTTGGTGGGCATCACGGGATCGAGCACTTATTTTGGACCTCGCATTCTCGCATTTCCGTTTTTTTGACTTTACTCCGGTTCCCCCCGCTCAATGAGAAGCTTTGCGTAAGGCCGGCCTCGTAGCTCTGCAGCTGGAGCAGTGGATGGCCATGTTGCACATCAACAGGCAAGGAATCGCTTCCTTGGGAACAGAGCCGCTCTGGTCGCTTCACTCTTATAACGATGTCCTGGCGTGCCATGCCGCTCAGGAAAGTCACAAGACTGTAAAGTCCACGAAGAATCCCCAGAAAAATGGGGGTTGATGTGGCACTGTCGCGCAGGTTCCTCGTGTCCTTGACCACCATGGCCATTGCTGTGGGGCTGCTTCTCCTCCCAGCTCGGGCGCAGGCCATTTCGTCAGGGATCTCTGAAGCCTTTGGACTCCCTTCCCCTCTATAACCCGAGCAGATTTTGGAGTTTCCAGTTTCCAGTCGTTTCAAAAGTCACTTCTGGTTCACCCAGGCGGCCTCCTTTGCCATCTGCACCCTCGTGGCTCTGCCCGTGCTCTTGGCCGGCGCTTTTCGGGACGGGGCTGCTAGAGTCTCCAGAGTCTGGAGATGGCTGTCTTTGTGATCCATTGTGCTGCTTGAATTCAGGGTGGTTTCGAAAACTGGTGCCTGTCATATGCAGGGGCCTAGGGAGATGTGCGGTGATTCCCAAGGGAGAGCGCTGCGAGGGCTCAGTAACATGATGCAGCTTGCCAGCACGACATTGAGTGTAGACAAGGGCCGTGAATCCCTGGCCCTCCTGATTGCAGGAGTTCCTGCGCTTTGTCGCCACATCACCTCCCTCAGAGCTGCTTGGAACTGTCGCAGGCACGGCAACTTAACAAGAAGCTCCGATCTCACCAAAGCAACTTAAGCAAGCAATGCGACGGTGGCCTCTCCTATCTTGCCAGCCCGTGCAGGTTTGCTGACCGCCATGCTCGCCTTTGCATTCCTTTGGCAAGGGCCAGCGCCTGAGGGTGGAGACCACCTAGGCCGCACCCGAAATCAAATTAGGGCTCCTCAGCCTCTTCGCACAGGAAAGTCAAAACAAAATGACATAGTGTATCCCAGGGTATCCTCCTCAATCTGTGGGCCCACTACGCTCAGGGCTGATGGCCTTCGATTGCTCTTGGGCGCTGCGTGTGGCTGGCTAATTAACTCGCAGTTCCCGCCACGGGAAGAAATGCAGACCAGCCAGGCTCGCCGTGCTGCTCGGCGACTTAGTGCTGGTCCGCTTTCTCAGCTCCAGAGAGAGTTGCGCGAGCTGCCCACAGAAAGACCTCCCAAGACCAGGTCGCCAGCTGGCTCCCGCTGCCGGAGGCCATGGCAGCGCTCGCCGCTTGTGCGCTGGGCTACGCCGGTGCCGCGGCCGGTGCCAGCCCTTGCATAAACACGGGAATGCGCGGGCTCCCCTCGCCTTCGTTTTCCCCCTTTTCCGAAGAGGCCTGTACCGGCGTCGTGCCACCCAGGCCTTCGCGGCCCGGGGCTCAGAGCACGGTGCCATGAGCCAAATGCGTGAAACCGAAGGAAGGAGATCCAGGAGTTCCCTTTCTGTTCCCTTCCTTCTTGACAGCCGTGCAATGCCAAGATGGCGGTGCCAGCGGCCTTGTTGCTGCCATCGGGCTTCCTCCTGTTCTTGGAAGCCCTTGGCCGATCAGAGGCTGGAGAGATGCTGGGCTGTATGCCGGAGCTCGGAGCGCGAGATATTGCGATATATTTCTCTTGTGAGGCGTACCTAGAGGACATCATCTCGGCTTTGTTGTGTGGCTCTCATTCGCAGTCCGCGAAGCGCGACGCAGCGATGACCCCATGGTTGCGTGTGACAGTGCCTATGAGGACAGCTGAATGCCTCAGAATGCCGAGCCAAGGCCCTGGGCAGACGAAGAAAGCGAGAAGGCACGCTCTGTCACCCTAGTCCTGGTACAAGCCTTCAGACCATCGATTCAACGGCCAACCTAAAATCAACGAATTGGACTCTTGCTGGCGATTGATACCATTTGCATGCTCCTACCCGAGCATGTGCAAGCGCAGGTGGTTGGCAGCAGCTTCTGCGAGTACGGGCGACTTGTGTGGCACCCCTCCCAGCAACATTCGATTGTGGTGTGTGTACACATGCGCACGGAACAACTTGAGATTCACGGAACTGAAGTATTTGCTTTGGTGCCAGTGTTATCGAGTGTTGTCTGCTGAGGCTACTGCTTCAGCTGCCGGCGTTCGCCAATCTCTTGATGGCGCCCGGAAGGGACGTGCGCCCGCTCTTTGCATTAAAGCTTTCAATCGACTTACGTTTGATTGCCGCAGGGTTTCTCTGTCAGCGGGTGCCAGAAGTCTTAAGTGAGGCTGCATACACAAAGTGTTGCTGCATGGCAGGTGCCCCCCTTCCCGTGGGAGAGTGAGGAGCCGGCAGAGAAAAGTGCAGTGCCGGCCCATTTCGCCAATGCAAGTCGGATGTGGCTCGTTGCTGCTTGCAGTCGAATGCAGTCGAAGACCTCACCATCGTGGCTGAGGTACCAGATGCAAGTCCACCCGAAGAGTCCAACGCCCTCGAGGCAATTGCACCCCTGTCGGCTATGTCGGATGCGGGCACAGATCAGCACAGCTCAGCATAGGCGTCACACGGTTTGAATCCTCAGGAGGACGTGGAAGCTCCGGAGGCAGCGACAGTGATGCTCAACTTCTTAACCAGCACACGAGTTAACCAAACAAGGGAACAGGGAATGGGAGCACGAGACGGAAAGTAATAAAGAAAAAGGACAAGGACTTTAACATGGCACCCAGTCGCGGGAATCAGTTGCAGAGTGGAGTTCTTGTTTCTTGTTTTCAGTTAGTGGGTGGAGGGGCGGGAGGAGAGGGTTTGGGGCCTAGGGATGCAGGGATCCGGCTTTTCCCCGCCTTCGGTGTGGGGTTGTTAGATTTTGAATTCAGCTCTTCTCCTCGCCCGGCCTACTCCTCGCCCAACCCCAGCTGGAGTGGACAACCCGAGTGTCCCCCTGGAGTGCCTCATCCCAGATTGTCCCTAGAATGTCTCCAACCCCCAACCCCAGAGTGTCCCTGGAGTGCCCACCCCAGATTTGTTCCTGGAGTGCCCAACCCCAGAATGTCCCTCAGCCCCAGAGTGTTGCTACAGTGCCCAACTCCAAAGTGTCCCTGCAGTGCCCAACCCCAGAGTGCCCCCCGGAGTGCCCAACCCCAGAGTGTCCCTGGAGTGCCCAACCCCAGAGTATCTTTACCCAGAGAGGGTGGGGATGTTCGAAGTAAAATAATTTGAAGGAGTTTTTTTGTTTTATGTCGGACATGTCGCGCTTTCGGGTTTAGGGCTTTAGGCGTTAGGGCTTGCCCGCCTTCTACACCCCCCCAAAACAATGCTGCCACTTTTCTAGCCCGCTGGAGGTCACAGCTGTGTCTTCCTTGCCACAGGCTAGCAGCCGAGCAGTTCATGCGTGCAGCATCTCCCAAGCACGTGCTTCTTTTTCGTAGTCTTCTTCCTTAGCGGGCAATCCTGTTGTTCCCTGTTCTTCCATCATTTTTGTATCTCCTTTCCTTTCTGTGTTGCAGGCTGAGCTAGCTGAGCTCGCACAGCCGACCGAACCTGGGGAGCCTGAGCTCGGCGAGCCCGAGCTGGAGCAGCTGTCTTGGGTATTCTCGGTGAGCAGACATGTCGTCATAGTTTGTCATATTTGGTCATAGTGTTGCAGGCAATGTGTGTCCATTTTCAGTATTCCGACATTGTGAGTGGTGAATCTTCAGTCCTGTGGCTGCTGCCGAGCTGCTTCAGAAAACGGCCTGGGCCCAAGGTGAAAGAGAGCGTCAATTCTGCTAGGATGCGCTAGGACGTGCGCAGAGTGGTGCACTGAGCAGCGTTCTGATACTGCAGGTTAAGGCGCTTCAGGCGGGACTTGCATAGTGGAGAGACCTCCAGCGCCACATTGTGGGCCTTTTGGGCTTGCTTTTGGGCTCGCGCATTGTGATGTATTTCGGGTGATGCTGTCAATCTTGTGCTTGTGCTGCCCAGTGCGCGGAGGCTCTGGAGACAGCCCTTTCTCCAAAGAGATCGCAGGACAGAGAGGGACAGAGTCGGAAAGAAATCGGACAGAGCTTCAAGAGTGCGTTAAGAGTTCTTCAAGAGTGCTTACCACCAAAGTCTGGAGCCAATTGTAAACGCTCGCGTGCGCCGCCGCGGCCGCCAGTCGGAGGACAACCAAATTCGCATGTCGAGCGCCACATACGTCGAGGTTCCCAGGAAGGTCCCAGGAAGTTTCCATCGAGTCCCAAAGTTTGGCCACTTGTGGGAGCAGCCACCTACAAAAGGAGGGGTCAAATCTTCGGGTAAAAAGGGTTGGGAAGGGAAGAACGAGACCAGATCCTGGTCTGCTTGTTTCAGATGCCTGTTGGCCGGGGGCTGGGGCGATTTTTTTAAAGTGCATTTTCCGGTGTCCTCGCAGGGAACTCCCCCAGCCACAAACCTGGTGGATCGGCCCTTACAGAGTCTGTGCATTGGGTGGAGGCGGGGGCAGTCCGTGCTTGACAAGGCCTCCTCGCCCACCTCGCCCACCTCGCCCACCGCGCCCACTGTCCCGGCGGAGGTGCAGAACAGGAGAAATGTTAAAGAGAAGAGAATGAGATGAGAGAGAGTGTTGCAAGATGTTGCAAGTGTGGTGCAGTGGAAAGGCGGCCTCTGGGTCCGAGAGCCACGCCCACACTGGTGCCGCCGCGTCTCCAGACGGGGCCCATGGGGCAGGCGGAGCTGCTGGAGGCCTGGCGCGCCTCTTGAAAAGGCTGCTGAGCCTCGAGTTCTTGACGTGTGGCGGGCCAGGTGGTACGTGAGTTACGTGAGCGGCGACTGCGCCCCACACTGCTACTCGTTTAAAAAGGCTCATGGTATCAAGGGGCTTCTTGAGATCAACCAGAAGCGTCCGAGATTTCCGCAATCATTCAGCGGCCCTCGGATTTCAATGCACATGGCGGCGAGCGTCGAGAGGCAGGCCTATGGCCTAGGAGTTGCTGCAGTTGCCCGATTGGCCCCGACAAGCGGCTGCAGTAGGACGCACCGACCTCCACTCGTTTTTCGTACCCGTAGTACATCGCCATGGACGCAGCTAGCCCATGAATGACATGCTTCGTTTCAGTGTTTCAGATCCATCATGATTAGGTCCGATTACGTGGTTCCGTAGAGTCTTGGCCTCCCTGTCATGGCATCTGCAGGTGCGAAACCCAGCTACTCGTCATGGGATAAGCAAAGCGAAAGAGTATGCAAAGGGGGTAGGCGAATTCCGGAGCCAGAGGCCTGGCATTGCCAGGTCACAAAGCCCCGGAGTTTATATGGCCTAATGGGCTTACAATGACCCAAGAAGTGGTTGAACGTTTGAAGCCTCGACTTTTGTCAGCGCCCCATAGGATTCTCAGGGCAAAAGGGAGGGCGATAGGGAGGCCCGCAAGCACGGCACAATATCAGAGGAGATCCAGTGAGGGAACGCAGAAACGCAGGCCCTCTTGCCAGGTCACGAGGGCAAGCGCAGATGCCTTCAAGCGCCGGGACACCTGCAACGGGCCTCCCAGGCACAGCCGCTTTTTGTTGCCTGTACTTGGCGTCTTAGGCGTCCGAGCCCGAGGCGTTTGCCATCGCTTGCCCCTCGCGCCCGTGCAGGTGGACATCCGGTACCTTGCATCCCACGCAGATGACTTCTTTCCACGGGAGGCCTGTGCTACATGTGTATGAGAGTGGCACCGACGCGCTGCTGCAGTTACTGCTGACAGCAGCAGAGTCGCCCGAGGACCGTCACTCGCTGGGCGAGCTTCGGCGCTTACCCCAGGCCCCGGACATCTGGAACTTTCATTTGTGCATTTCATAGCTCTGTGCTCTCCTCTCTCTTCTCTCTCTTTTCCCTCTCTTTTATGTCTCCTCTCTCTTTTCTCTCTCTTCTCTCTCTCTTCTCTCTCTTCTCTTTTGCTTTCTTTCCTTCTTCCTTGCTTCCTTTCTCTCTCTCTCTCTCGCTCGCTCGCTCGCTCTTGCTCTGTCTGTCTCTGTCGTTGTCTCTTTGTCCCTGCAAAATCTCTGAAGCTCTGCACGAAGTTTTCGTCCGATGGGCATCAGGGTTCAACGCAGCGCCTTGGGCTCAAAACCTCGAAGAGAAGCTGGTTCCAAAGCGGGCCATGGCGACTCCTGTGATGCTGGCAGATGGCGTGCGTTCCCTTGTTGTTTTTGAGGATGATGCGGCCATGTCCAAACAGCTTGTGACGGAGGTCACGGAGGCAGCCAACGCGGCAATCAGTGCCAAGGGCAGCTTCAGCCTATGTATCCCTGCAGGGAGCGTCGTCTCAGCCCTCAAGGATCTTTCCCCATCGGCAGTAGATTGGACGAAGGTGAACATCTTCTTTACAGGCCTTGTTCCACAGCGAGCTCGAAGACTTGGGTGCTTGAATTTCCTTGAGCCCCGCAGTGCGCTAAGCATCCCAACGCATCCCCAAAAGCCCTGTCCACCACACCCTGAAGGCGAGCGCTTGGGAGTGAACAAGTCGTACACTGCAGCCTTGGATGCCTTTTGCAAGAAGTGCGGCATACAGCCGCTTGCCGTTCACCTAAAGAGAGGAAAGCTGCTGTCGAGCGTGGGATGTGGGTCAGGGAGGGGTGTTGGGGTTTGTTGGGGTTTGTTGGGGTTTGTTGGGGTACACAGCAGCGCAGCGAGGAACGTCTTCTATCCGATCTTGCGGCCGCTCTTCAGCACGGGCACGGGGCTTCCAGAGTTTGCCGTCAAGGAGGCCACGGAGGCTTACACCTGCCTCCTGAAGAACCACCCGGCCATCGACAACTCGGGAGCCGTCCCCTCCTTCGACCTGCTCCTGCTTGGTGTTGGGGAGGATGGCCATTGTGGCTCACTTCACCCGAAGAGTGATCACATCAAGGCCGCGGGCGATGGCACGGTGACCTTCGGCATCCACAAGCCAGGGAAGAATCAGATCGCCATCTCCATGGACGTCATGTGCGCAGCCAAGCGCTTCGGCAATGTGCGAATCCACATCTTTCCTGAAGTTTCCGTTTCGTTGACTGCCCTATAGTTCGTTCATCTGGTTCATGTGTTCATCTTCCCCTTCGGTGTTTTTCTCGTTGTGAGAATGGCCATCAGGAAAGCCATCCTCGCAGCCACGGGGGAGAAGAAGAAGGATGCAGTGCGCCGGGCCCTGTCTGGGGACTTCGAACCTCACGACTGCCCAGCCGCCCTGGTCAAGGCATCATGACAAGAATTCCTAACTGTTCATCACTCCCCTAAGCCTGCTTGAAACTGCTTTCGCCATTCGCTTTGGTTCACTTTTCTCCATGCATCTGTCTAACACTTGCGGACGGCCATTGCTCTCGAGATGAGCTTGGGAGTTTGTTTTCTTCCCGCAAGGCGGCCTCCACAATCTGGTACGTCGACAAAGCCTCGCTGGCTGACTTCAAGCCGTAGGTCGGAATCACTCCGCCGGTGTGCGGCCCAACGTGCTGAATTCGAGCTCAAGAGCCACGAGAAAGCAGGACTGCCCTTCCAGGAAAAAATTGTCAGAGTGAAGAGCCAACTCGTAAGCTGCAGCCTCTGAAGGGGCTGGTCGGCAGACGTCTAGGTTAAATTGGGTGGTGTTCCGAACATGTCCAACAAATGCAACGAGCCGCATTATCATTATAAGATTCCATCCAGGTGTCCAAGTAAGCAGCCAAACGCCACGAGACTTTGTCGAACCATAGTTCTGCTTGTGGCAGGTGCATGTGCTTCGCGAGGCCTTTGAGGGTTCCTCTTTTGCTCGAGCAGGGTTGGAGCAGGTAGGGGAAACTGCCACAGTTCTGAGTAGCCGAGCAGCGCTTGCTCCATGGCTGTGGAAGTGTGGCGGAAGTACGAGTGTGATCCCTGGCTCAAGCTCTCAAGCATTCTCAAGTTTCAAGAGGCCGAAGATGGTCAAACCAAGCTGTAAGGAACATCTGAAAAAACAAGTTGTGATTCCAAAGAACTTATAGGCCCGGGCTCCCGAAGTTTTCGAGGCTCCCGGAAGCCTTCTGTTGCCATGCTTGCGCTGGGGCAGCAGCACAGCCTCGCCGGGGCTCCCAGCTGCATTTCCTGCATTTGCGGGTTGCCCATGTGGGTTGCCCATGAAGCGAAGAATGGGTCATAAAGTTACGAAGGCTGGCTAAAGATCAGCGTGGGTTTGTTTCAATCTTTGCGTCGGACCCGAGTGTACACACGAGGCTTGTGCAGACGGAGACCTTGTGGTGGCATGGGGAGACAACCACCGCGGGCAGTTTGGAGATGGCACGAGAACATCTCGGCCAACTCCTGAAAAGGCGGCGTGGCGAATTGAGATGTGAAGTAATGCCTTAGCAGTCAGCAGTGACACCTCTAAGCCCACAAGAGGAAGCTCTTCTTGTGCCTTTGCCATTCTGTCCCTGCAAGCCAGCCAAGCTTGGATGACAGGTATTTGATGCTGACTTTGTGGCACTGTCGGCGGGAATGCAGATTGGGCCTCAGAGCAGGCTTAATGGCAAAGAAGGGTTCCGGATCTTTCTATTGCCGCAGCCATGGTGTGAGCATCCGCACAGTCCCTGAATGCTTGAGGCACAGCATGGGCCTGACCCAAACCGGGCGGCTCCTGTGCTGGGGAGGCCGTCTCTTTCTGCACTTTCCCATGGTCCCAAGCCCTCATTCCCTCGTGCCCTCTCTCATTGCCTCGGGATGCCGTGAAGGGTCGGGAGTATTCCAAAGTGGGCGGGGGACATCGGGGTGCTCAACCTTCCCCCCCCCCCCAGATCTTCCAGCAATCCCTGTGTAAAGATAGGCATCTCAGAGCAAACCAGAACTCATGTGAATCGCTGAATCTAAGAGCCGGACACGACGAAAAGCAAGGGTCTCCTGTATTGGTTAGCGGCAGTGAATGGCAATGCTTTTTGTTGTGGGCGGGGGTGGACCAGTGGAGTGTAGTCTTTTGCAGATGTAGGCTTGGCCATGCCTGGATCAAGGCAACGAGTTCGGACAGATTGGCGACGGCACGTCGCCTCGGCACACATCAGGTTTCTTCTCCAGTAGGGTAACTCCTTTTCGTCAGTTCCATGTGTGAGAGAGAGAGAGAGAGAGAGAGAGAGAGAGAGAGAGAGAGAGGGAGAGAGAGGTGAAAGCCTCTGGCCTCTGTCTGCGAAAGTTTCACTGGAATCCGAGAGAGAGAGAGAGAGAGAGAGAGTGATGCAGGTGCCCTCTCTTCGGGGGGGTGCCTTCGCTCTGTAGAAGAAGAAGAAGAAGAAGAAGAAGAAGAAGAAGAAGAAGAAGAAGAAGAAGAAGAAGAAGAAGAAGAAGAAGAAGAAGAAGAAGAAGAAGAAGAGAGTGATGCACGCTTGTGCACGTCCTAGCTCTAGGCAGGTCTAAGCCCGAGGCCTCTCATGGCAGACCGAAATCTGGCAAGCTCCAAGCAGAAGTGAGGATCCAGTCACGGCTGGAGCCCGTTGAGATCTTGCTGCCTGGCGTCAAGGGCATCTCTGCAGGTTGGGCCCCGCGCTCTTAACTTTGAGGTCTGCTGCGCGTACTTGGATTCTTCCGTCTGCCAGGTTGGTGGCACAGTTTGGCCGTCACGAGCAGTGGCGAGGTCTGGGCCTGGGGCCAGAACAAGCAAGGCCCGCGAGAAAGCGTTCGCATCCAGGATGTGGACTTTCAGTTCCCAGCGCTGAAGCACAGACATAACCTTCTTTGACCAGGATGTAAGCAGAACGACTTAGGCATCTGTCTCTCTCGACATGGCAGGCCAGCTTGGGGACGGTTCGCGGGAGACGCGCCTCGAACCTGTGCGGGTGTTGGCTTCTGGAGCGCGCCAGGCCGCAATTTGGGAACGAAACTCCAATGTCTGCCAGTGAAGGGGGCGGTTCTATGGGAAAAACAACTTGCAACAAGGTGCTTCCTTAGAGATTACCTGCTGAATCAGAAAGCCCAAGAGCGGCCCACATTCGAACCCCACCAGGCTGCTGCGGGTTGGCTGCACAGTTGCGTGGTGATGGAATCTGGCCAGGCATCTCTTCACATCTCTTTCCAGCAAATTCTGGCCAAACCGAGTGGTTCAGAGCATAGCGGCGTTCCAGAGCTGTGTAGCAGTGCAGCCACATAGGATAATGATGTGGAAAGTGCTGGATGTACGGTTGACATGCAGGACACTGCTTGGCAATTCACGCCATGTTGCATCTCGTGCAGCGCACACTCAGCGATCGCCGGAAAGACCCCGGGCTCAAGGCGTTTTCCGTGTGCGGCTCGTTCACCGCCCGATAGCCGGAGGTCGTCGCGAGGGAGAACTTCTTTCGAGCGCCATCCAAGCGCGCCAACATGTTGGAATGTCTTTGATTCCAAGAGGCTTTACGGGAGAGCTACCCACAGAAATTGACCCTGATCTGTTGCAAGGAGTTCCTTTGAGTGTTTGTCTGAGTGGCTGGGGCCGACACTGGTCGACAAACAAGTCGTCAACACGATCGAGTCTTAGCCAATCGACCACAAGGCTAGATGCATTTCTGAGTCATGACTGGGGTACCAGTACCTCGGCTCTGCATCAGCTGGGTGTTGCTGTCAAGGGGCCAAAACATAGTGAACTCAAGAAACTCAAGTCCTCCATGTCGTGTTTCGTCTGTTTTCGCGCCGAGGCCGCTGGCTGAAATTTCTGGCCCTGACCTTCATCTTCAACGCTGCCCCCGCAGTGTCTTGCGCAGTGGTCTTCGGCATCTTGGTCGGGTTCCTCACGAACTTGGGGCTGCTGCCAGATACCGAGCTCCTGGTTTTGCTGGGCTACGCCGCCCTCGCCTTCTTCCTCTTCTTCTGGCAGCGGGTCAGGGATCCCTTCCTGGGTTCTCCGCTGGTCTTCTTGGACAAGCTCTGCATCTCCCAAACGGATCCAGTGAAGAAGGAGCAAGGAATCCTGGGCCTTGGTGGCTTCTTAAAGGTGTCCCAGCGCCTCATCGTCCTCTGGTCCCCGCGCTACTTCAGCCGCAGGGGTCCCCAGGAGCGCCAAACAACGTGTTGTTGGGATTCAGGAGAAGCCTCACATGTCGCACGTGTTGCACGTGTTGCACATGTTGCACATGTTGCACATGTTGCACATGTTGCACATGTTGCACAGGGATCACAGCAGTGTGGCGCACTTTGATTGAGGTCTCTGGTGCACGTACGAGCTCGTTACGTTCCTGCGGCTGCGCGGTGAAGTGGGGGCTGTGTATGTGATGCCGGTGAAGGCCCTTTGTAAGTTTGCTTTGGGCCCCTTTGGACCTTTCCGGGTTTTAGGGTTTAGTGAAAAGCCGCCTTTCTTTCCAGATGGCTGCGCTCCTCCTGATCATGGCCGTCGTTTGGCAAGCCGTTCGCCTGAGCACGTTGGTCTGGAAGTACACCGAGGAGGATCCGACCTTGAGGCCGTTGGCAATGACGGGCATGGCTTTGACGTTCCTTGTGACCGTTCCAATCTACAACTACCAGGGCTTGGAGCTCTTTGCTGCCATCGAACAGCTGCCGCGTCAGCTCCGTGCATTTGATATCCAGCAAGCTGGGTGTGCCTGTTGCAACAGAGGACCCCCGGCAAAAAACAGCACTTAAAATCACAAGGTGTTTTAGCAGCTCTCTTTGCTCACGTTCTTAGTTGGTGCTGCTTTTTTGGAGGCCACCGGAACCCCGAGACTGGCGAGGAGATGGCCTGCGATCGGGAGCTGGTGTTCTCCACCCTTCGGACTTGGCATGGCCCGAGCGTCGAGGACCCCGACAACGATGACTACCTCTACAAGTTCAACGAACTTGTCCAGACGCAGCTTTCGAAGTCCCTTTTAGGCACCGTGGGCGGCGACGTGCTGATGCTCCGGGATTACGTAAAGTTCACTGTGGGTTGCAACGCGCCATGGATCCCGCGATGGGTGTCAGACGTCTTGAAAGGTCCGTCTGAGGACCTCCAAGGATTCCTATGGTTCTCGTGGCTGTTGAGAAAGTTGGTGGATCAGCTCATGATTTATTTGCAACTTGGCCACATTTGGCAAGGCAGCATTCGGATTTTGAGGATTGTGGCAAAGAATGGCAACTCGGAAAGAGGGGTCATGCGGGCCCTCGGCAGCGGGGTAGAAGAGGACACGGTTCAAGGTTAGGTGCATCTCATCCTATTGACTCCTCCGCGGGGCGTGCGTCCTGTGATCGTCGAAGCGATTCGGGAAGACCAAGCCGGAGGAGAAGAGTGAGAGGATTGAGAGGCAGAAAGATAAGTCTGATTTTCTGAGAGGGTGCTGCTTGCAGAGGGGAGAAGTCGGAGAAAACTGTCTGGGGTGGAGAGGTGGTCTTCGTTTGGGAGTTGGGCACGGTGCAAGCCAAGCTGTTGCTCTGGCTACCTGCCGGAGAGTGCGGAGGGTGCTAGTCAGCTAGTCCGTCGATTTACTGTTATATAAGAAGAAGAAGCAGAAGAAGTTTAAAAGGATGAAGAAGAGGAGGAGAGCGGGAGAGGCGGCATTCAAAGCGAGTAGAGGCATAATGCGTACGATGCGTACGCTATTTGCCTTCGCTGACTTAGACTTAGACTCCCGGATGTCAGGCTCATGTTCTACTTGATGAGGGTCAGCATGCTCCTGTGGAAGGCAGGCCTCCCGATGCTGGACGCCACCTCAGCTGACTCTCGAACACCTGTTCGAGCAGGGTTCGCACATCAAAGTGCTCTGAAAAACTCTTGAAAATCGTCCTTGCAAGGAGCGCGTGCCAAGATCAGCCTTGGCGGTGATCATGATCTTCCCGCTGATGC